ATTTTTTCCTCAAGTCTTACGCACATTCTGATACCATTTTCGTTGAAATCAGATATACCTGTAAGGTGTTACATAACAATTAGTATGCGCATGTCGTCAAAAAGTGCTATAATTGCATATATTCATGTACAAGCAGAAATGTGAAGATATGAATTGATATCAAATTGCTTTTATATGTTTCTCAAAGTAACTTGATGTATTTCAGAACAAAAGAATACATTAGAAATAAAACAATAGATATAATAAGAAATAAAAAACAATAAAATACATAAGAAAATAAATAGTTGAAAATCGCATCAAATTTGCATAAATTATCATTATTAATTACATCAAATAACTATTTTGTGTTAGAAAAGAAGTTTCATATGAATAATGAGTTTCAACATTAAAAAAGTGGAGTCTGACAATTTTTGTAATGATTCTAGTTCACTATATATATTACCAGATTTGATATTCATGAATGCGTATTCATAATTTTTGCAAATTAACCTATGCATTTTCAAATATAAAAATAATGAAACCTCATGAATTTGAGATGAAGGAAACATTTATTTAATACATTTGCAAGATTATTCACAAGTCTACGGACAAATATGTAGAGTTTTCTGTAAAATGCATAAAATTAGCATTTTGCATAATTAATTAGGCTATAACGACAAAAATTTGCATATTAGGAAAAAACTAATTATACCATCTTGTTCCTTACGTAAATATCTACAAACATGCACATTTTCGCACTCATCGGACATTCGACGGCAGAGATCATAGGGGGGGGGGGGCTTCCCAGCCCCCCCCCCCCCCCAGTCAGAGAGTGCTCGATCATAGCCCAGTACAGTAAGGGTTAATCATCTCCCCCTTTTGTAGGCCTACATAGTCTCTTCTCCCCACCTTGTTTTAATTACTCACCCATGCTTATAATCATATGGTTATAGTTTATAGTTATTTGTTTTAGTAGCACCTTTGACGAACACGTATTGTATTAATCTATTATATAACCAGACTTTTTTTTTTTTGTCTAGGATTGTTTTGAGGTACCAGACCTTTACAAGCTAAGCTTTTTTAAGGTCTCCTCGATCGTCTTTCTTCTTTTTTTCTTCTTCTTCTTCTTCTTCTTCATTTAAATGTATTATATGAACTTGTTCCATTATAAGTGTTCCTTTTATATACTCTTACATCAGGCGCGTACGCAGGATTTTTTCAAGGGGGGGGTTTTAACATTTATAAATCGGTCCGAAAATTTCGCAACGACTCAGCCAGCCGCTGAATAAGCGGGGGGGGGGGGGGGGGGGGGGGGGGTAAGAGGACACTTTTTTTTTTTTTTTTGGTCTCGAAATTTGGAAATTTGACATTTTGCTCCGTTGGGGGGGGGGGTAAGGTCACCTTTTTTAGGTCGGCCATGGGAATATTTTTTTTATTTTTTATTTTTTTTAATAATTAAAAAAAAAAAAAAAAAAAAAAAAAAAAAAAAATCCAAAAGGGGGGGGGTTTTAGGTTTTTTTTTAGGGGGGTTTACACACAAAAAATTTCCAAAGGGGGGGGGGGTTAAACCCCCCAAACCCCCCCCCCCCCCCCCCCCCCTTGCGTACGCGCCTGTCTTACATGTTAGGGGAAGACCTCGTAAAGGCTTTCTAGACGATGTAATCATACAATGTGGAGCAACAGGGTATGAAACGATGAAACGGTTGGCTCAAGACCGAGGAACTTGGAGAGAAACTTGGAGAGAAACACTTGATATAGAATTTTGAATGGGTCACTGAACCTGTCATAAACTGACAGATCACTATTGATGATGATGTTATAAAATTGTTAATTATATTACATTCATGTTGGACTTAACATGCACACATCTGACATCCCACAAAGCGCGATGACGGTTTCCAAAACGTCCGTCCAAAAGGGTTCATTCGTTAAATGCAACGAAGAGGGTGTGTCATTTTCTCAGCTGATTGGGCGCGCGTCACGCTGAGATCAAAACAATTATGACCTGAGGTCAAATCATCATCATGTAAGATATCGTATGATCGTTGCACGCAGTGTAATGTGGCGCAGCCGAAAATGATCGCGGCCGTGCAAGACAGAGAGGTGGCCAGCCCACATAGCGTATTGAGAGAGATAGTTGTGACATTCATGAGTTCGCAAGCTCGGCCATATCGAGACCCCACTGCCTACTGGTTTCAACTGGAATTTCGACCTGCGTTTTAAAGACAAACATTCCACATCGTGGCTTAGCTCAATAACATTTAAGTCATAGCCCTGCAAATGTACAGATTCATGAAAAGAAAGGGCAAAATTGTCTATAGTCATTTTGTCAATCTGACCACTTTGCATTTGGCGCCATGCAGGAATTTAGAAACACGTGCGTATACATCGGGTACAAATTGCATGGGCAAATCTTAAATTTATTATTACCAGGAGGTTCAAGTCTCACCTCCCTGTTATTACCATATCACAGTTTTATGGCCTTGGAATTTGAGACGGGATATTTCATTAAAACAATATGGCAGTAAAGAAAATGAAAATTGGAGGTTTGTTTAGGAACAAAGGTGCACCAGCTGGCGCGATCCCCCTCTATTTCCAACTTAGGCCTGCATTCCGGTATGGGCCCCAAAATTGCCGGCCCTTTAACACATGCATGCTGCCTAGTGGAACTTAGGAAGAGTACCCCCCCCCCCCCCGTGATAATGAGTGCCTGTTTTCAAATCTGTATCTGATATATGCCACTTTTATTATGATAAGTGTCCAATGTCCCTCAAGTTCCCCTTGTAAAAATTAAGTGCCACTTTTGTTATCTGGAATGATCGCATCCTTTTGGGTACGTACGTGAAGGGTATATTTATAAACTCCGATAAGTGCCCTTTTACTTTGACATGACTTGTGCATCTTTTCCTTTCCAATAAATGCCATTTCCCTTTTCTTATATTTAGGTTTTTTTGTTGACTCTATCATTCCCCTTCAGAAATATGAGAGCACAACATAATTATTTATAATACAACAATACGGAAAGATATATAAAACAAAACCTAAAGTGGTAGGCCGGTTACTCACAACAAACTGTCGATCTAAATATAACTGCCTTTCTTTCTTGAAAAAGGGGCAGACAAAAACATAGTGAAATTGATCTCCCAAAACCTTTAAATCACAACAAGGACATTCAATTTTACTTTCTTCAGGATTACTTTCAAACCTTCCATTATTAATTAGTAAACGGTGTGACCTGTATCGGAATCGACACAAATTGATTGCACCTCGATCTTCTATTCAACTTGATACTTTTCAAATAAAATTTTGTTCTTGATAATGTCAGTCAACCTGAGAATGAAGAATCCATGTATTACTGAATCTACCCCCTTAATTGCCTTTAATTGCCACAAATTTCCTAGCCCTATTTAAGTTCCACAAAGGACAACCATTAAGATAATTGAGAATGGGTACCTCTTTCCTTTAAGTAATTTTAAAAGATTATATAGAATCTGAATGGAAATTTATAATGACTACCTTTTAATTACTACTTACTTTTGGCAAAAAACTTACCATTCAGTAAATATACATTTTAACTGAACATCAATTTTAGTACGGCCTGTCTCAACATGAATCATAAAGTCAGGTGTATATTTAAGTGCCACTTTTTACTTTAAAAAGTGCATCGATCAGAGGCGGCGGGGAGACTTCCAATGTGTGGGGGCACCAACGAAAAGGGCACTTTCTGGAAAAAAGGGCACCTTCAAAGGGAAATCTCAAAGCGAAATTATACAATTTTTTTTAGACATTGTTATATACCCCTATATTCATATTACGGTGATTACATTATCATGGATGATTTCAATATTTGTTTCTCGTTATACATCACACTTTGCTTTTGGGTGTGAGGGTCTGAAAATTCATTTGCGAGCAAGCAAAGCGAGCGATGAAAATTTAAAAAAATTTGAGATCGCAGAGCGAACAATTACATCTTATAAAGAGGCAAAACCCGACCCTGGCACTCACCAGGGATGAAAAAGGCACTTATGAGATTTGTCGACGGAAAAGAGGCACCCATCAGATTTTGATAGGAGCATTTATAAGAAGTGAAAAGGGGCATTTATGAAAAAGGGATAGGTTCCTTATTACAAAAGAAAAGGGGCACGTATCATTGTTAAAATGGTAATTTTCACTAGGAGGAAAGGGGGCACTGACCATAATTATATTAAAAGAGGTACTTATGAAAAAGAATAAGAGGCACTATGAAGGGAAATGTGAATTTGTTGAAAGAAAAGGGGCACCGATCAGATATGGGCATTTATCGGAGTTGAAAGGGGGCTTTGATGAAAAGGAAAAGGAGGAAGTGGCTCTTAATTAAAAAGAACTGGCACATGTTAAAATTAAAGGGAGACTCTTATCAGAGATGAAAAGGGGTAATTATGAGAAAGGGGAGGGTCACTTATAAGAAGGAAAAAGTATCGTTTATTAGGAAGGAAAAGGGGAACTTTTCCTATGTAAAATGATGGGCACTTCAAAGGGGCAATGATTCTATAATTATGTAAGAAGGAGCCCTTTTTGGGTACTTCAAAAGTGTGTGTGTGGGGGGGGGGGGCACTGTGCCCCCCTGCCCCGGGGAGCGCCGCCTCTGGCCTCGATCTTGACCTTAAAAATGCCCATTTTCGCCTCTCATAATTATATACGTGTCCTTAAATGATAAATATACATGTCAGAGCCAACTCGCCTCGTATAGACTATTTATATAAATACAGTATCAGGGTGATATGAGAATTATAAAAAAAAAAAAAAAGATCACTGTCATTGTCAATTTGTCTTTGTACGTCATAATTATGCAGCTCCAAAATAGTTCTCTGAATTCCACATACAATATGGGAGGCAACTTTCGATCGCGAGCTCCATGAATCAATTAATTACGCAAGTTCCGGTGGTGTAACTATCTTTCTCAATTCAGCCAGACCAGCTATGCCCCCCACAGCGACAAGTACGGAGTTCGTAATATACGTGCAAGTGCTAGTACGTGCAGTGCAGTGGCGTTTGTTTTTAGGATAGTTACCGCGGAGCCGCTCCGAGCGCTGCAGCTGGTGCATGCTTGATATGATCGTCCGTCCAGCACCTCTTAATTGCTAGAGCAGGCTTCAACATATCCTCATCTTGCTGCTGTTTAGCACGGTAAGCTATAAAGTAAGAGTAAGAAGAGTGACATAGACCTCTAATTATTATTGTAATAGCCTAGAACAGTGGAATACGTACGTAGACTCTAGAACTTGGAAGTAGAACTCAGAAGAGAAAATGCTGTAGAAAATATAGACGGCCTACACACAGCACAGTGGAAGCTCCGACGCCGATGCCGAAGGCGCCGGTGTTGGAGCTTCCCGGAGTTAAGTCTTTCTTAGCTACGTGTGCTCACTTCATTATGAACATGATGAATGATGCTTGGCCTTTGGTTTTGTCACTTTTAATTTACCATGTGTTCCCTTGCTTCTGATTGGGTTATTCTACTGAAAGTCATTTGTTCTGCATGAGGAATAAATTCTGGCGCTAGTGAATAGTTATAGTGTAGATCTACTTGCTGGCGTGGCCGTGGAGAGTCTAGTCTAGACCGAAAGCATCAGTCTCTATACCGTCGGTTGTTCCACTGAGACTACGTCTGGCTCCACTAGACCTCCGGTTATAGAGACAGAACGATCGCCTATGCCAGCCTATGTTGAAGATATCACGGCTAGATTTTAGCCGTTAGGCCCCTCCCACTGTCCCACAAACATGAACAAACTTGCCACGGCCGTATTGTTATGCCCCCAAAATTCCCCAAAATGTCATTTTACCTCGTGCATATCCAATTTTACATTAGGCCTAGGCTATAATACATCAGTTCCACTTACTAACTTGATTGAAATAATCCGTTTAATGGTCCCTTTTAAGGAAATTATGGGTCAAAATCGACATCCATGTTGAAAATCTTGCAAGCCGTGTTAAACTCTCGCTGCCCTCAATCTCATCCCTTCTAGTCTACGCCGAAGGCAAAGATGATTACGAAGGAAAAACTGTGATAACGCCATTACGAACCTGTAGATGGCGCACAGTTTTTCCTTCATAATCATCTTTGCCTTCGGCGTAGACTAGAAGGGATGAGATTGACGGCAGCGAGAGTTTAACACGGCTTGCAAGATTTTCAACATGGATGTCGATTTTGACCCATAATTTCCTTAAAAAGGACCATTAAACGGATTATTTCAATCAAGTTAGTAAGTGGAACCGATGTATTATAGCCTAGAGTAAAGGAGCCGGTAATCGGCCAGCTCCAGTTTTCGGCCGATTGGTTGGATGCAAGGTAAAATCACTCTAAAATACATCGCATAATAATAGCATAACACATATCCCACACATACCATACCATGCCAGTGTCACTGAAGAACCACATTTGCAATGGAAAATATATCCTAAAATATCACCTAAAAAGGTCCCGCTACCCAAATCTGAAAAATCAAGTATCTTACGCGTGTCTGTAAGAAATATGGGTACCATAAAATGAGCTTTATTTCAAGTATTTTTCAGATTTAGAGCCCGATTTTGTGCTAGTCGCAAGCTCAAAAGTATCTCATCGCATGTATTAAATCAATGCAGCCGCACACCGCGACGCACACACAATATCTCTGTCTAATTCAGATTCCAACTTCCGATCACCGCTGTGCCTGTCTTCGGCCAGGCGAGCACCAGGGAGCTCCGGCGTGGGATACCTGCTCCGCCCGCCTTAGACCGAAAGCTTCAGTCTCTATAATCGTCGGTTGTTCCACTGAGACTACGTCTGGCTCCACTAGACCTCCGGTTATAGAGACAGAACGATCGCCTATGCCAGCCTGTGTTGAACTTATTCCGCTAGATTTTAGCCGCTAGGCCCCTCCCACAAACTTGCCACGGCCGTATTGTTATGCCCCCAAAATCCCCCAAAATGTCATTTTACCTCGTTCATTTCCAATTTTAAATTAGGCCTATGCTATAATACATCGGTTCCACTTACTAACTTGATTGATATAATCCGTTTAATGGTCCCTTTTAAGGAAATTATCGTCAAAATCGACATCCATGTTGAAAATCTTGCAAGCCGTGTTAAACTCTCGCTGCCGTCATCCCTTCTAGTCTACGCCGAAGGCAAAATGATTATGAAGGAAAAACTGTGCGCCATCTACACGTTCGTAATGGCGTTATCACAGTTTTTCCTTCATAATCATTTTGCCTTCGGCGTAGACTAGAAGGGATGAGATTGACGGCAGCGAGAGTTTAACACGGCTTGCAAGATTTTCAACATGGATGTCGATTTTGACCGATAATTTCCTTAAAAGGGACCATTAAACGGATTATATCAATCAAGTTAGTAAGTGGAACCGATGTATTATAGCCTAGGTCTAATTTAAAATTGGAAATGAACGAGGTAAAATGACCTTTTGGGGGATTTTGGGGGCATAACAATACGGCCGTGGCAAGTTTGTGGGAGGGGCCTAGCGGCTAAAATCTAGCGGAATAAGTTCAACACAGGCTGGCATAGGCAGTCGTTCAGTCTCTATAACCGGAGGTCTAGTGGAGCCAGACGTAGTCTCAGTGGAACAACCGACGATTATAGAGACTGAAGCTTTCGGTCTACGCCCGCCTGTGCTGTACATCAGCGCGGAAACGCACGGCGCGCGCGAGCGCTTCCTATTGACTTTGTACATGCAGCCGTAAAAAGAAACGCTCGGCCGATAACTGGCTCCAAAACAGTGAAAATTGAAATGTATATTGTCATGGCAATTCATGATTTTTTTCTGGGATTCTTTTTTTGTTTAAATAATAATAATATTTGCTTCATGATTTGAACAAGAAATGATAATAAATAGGAAGTAAAGAGTCCTAAAAATAGGATTTCGTCTTAAGTGGCCGAAAACGGGCTCCTTTACTCTAGGCCTAATGTAAAATTGGATATGCACGAGGTAAAATGACATTTTGGGGGATTTTGGGGGCATAACAATACGGCCGTGGCAAGTTTGTTCATGTTTGTGGGAGGGGCCTAACGGCTAAAATCTAGCCGTGATATCTTCAACATAGGCTGGCATAGGCGATCGTTCAGTCTCTATAACCGGAGGTCTAGTGGAGCCAGACGTAGTCTCAGTGGAACAACCGACGGTATAGAGACTGAAGCTTTCGGTCTAGATCTAGTCTATCTAGATGGTATACCAAATTTTCCGTCTCTTTCGTTTTTTAAGCATCTTATTTGGGTAGGGTTGGCTTTCTCTTTAGAGACGGAAGCCGACTATACGCATTCACTTTCAAACACCAAGGCCATGATTTATGGCCATATTTTTATGCCCCCAAAATTCATTTTAGACCATGGGCCGAGTAGTGAATATCTCCCTATTTCTTCGTTTTCGTGACCCACGTCTGGTTAGCCTTAAGGGCTCCCTTGAAATGTTTTTTATGATATTATTCAAGGAGCCTTAATTTGCTCCCATAGGGTCCCGTGGAGAGGTAGGTAAACAACATCTCAAATGGGTCCAAAATCACACTTTCTCGCACCTGACCAATATTGGACAGTGGCTTTGATGAATTTTATGATATTTCTTCTCCTAACTACCTACTGAATTTTAAAATCGGAGGTAAAAATAAGGAAATAATAGCAATTTTCTTACCAGACCGATACAGCTCAGCTCCCTTTTCACGTGTATCGTATGAATTCACGATCTCTACACAATGGTGATGACCTCTGACTGGCACTTCCGTGATTGTGCTGCTTCCGTATAATGCGCTGTATGAGTGTTATTCAGCGCATTATACGGAAGCAGCACATTTACGAAGCGCCAGTCAGAGGTCATCACCATTGTGTAGAGATCGTGAATTCACACGGTACACGTGAAAAGGGAGCTGAGCTGTATCGGTCTGGTAAGAAAATTGCTATTATTTCCTTATTTTTACCTCCAATTTTAAAATTCAGTAGGTAGTTGGGAGAAGAAATATCATAAAATTCATCAAAGCCACTGTCCAATATTGGTCGGGTGCGAGAAAGTGTGATTTTGGACCCATTTGAGGTGTTGTTTACCTACCTCTCCACGGGACCCTATGGGAGCAAATTAAGGCTCCCTTGAATAATATCATAAAAAAACATTTTGAGGGAGCCCTTAAGGCTACCTCTGGTAACTACCCAATTTTTTGTCTGAGAGGAGATAAAAACTCATAGAATAAAAATTCATAACTCGGCAAAGCCGAAAGTTGCACACTAATTAGTATTCATAATAAATAGAAATTAAGCATATCAACAGCGTCCTCTACGTCAATAAAATGAAAGACATGTAGAAACGTATGGGGACAAGGTAAATAAAAACTGCAAATTTGTGATAAATATATGTTTGGTATAAAAGCAAAAATAATAATAATATTAATAATAATGATGAACAACATCAATATCAATAATAATATTTATATTAATAATAATCATCATTATCATCATCATTATCATCATCATTATCATTATCATCATCATCATCATTATCATCATTATTATCATCATCATTGTCATCATTATCATCATCATTATCATCATCATTATCATCATCATCATTATCATCATCGAGCTTCATTTTACATCTCGTGTCACCTTTTTTTTTCACATTACACCTACTCTTTCACTGACAGTTCACTCGGTCTTTGAAGTTTGAACTGCATAATCATGATGCAATCATATCGCCTGGTAATGCATTCATAATTATATGAAACAAGTCAATAAATTCAAATCATATTCTCATTGTCACATGGAATTTTTGTATTGATTTATTTTGGGTCGTACATGACGTCTTGTAATCCTTTTGAGATAATCCAACATATTCAATGGATAATTTTGACTAATGAAACTGACTTCAATATTTACAACCTCTGTTAATTTCATTAACTTTTACATCCTAGAAATATCTTGATCTACACATTTGTTCAACCACTCCAAAAATATCCAATCGTTCAAGTTGAAAATGTTATACTCTAAATTTTCTTTTCTCTCTACTTAAGCGAGATCCATGGGGGAAATTACTTTTCAGAGTGGAACATTCATGCTTTGAAAAACTCATACCAAGAGCATATTGATTTAAATATATCACTAAAAATGTACATAACAGCACAGTTAATAAGTGAGGATATGAGCTTAAATTGTACAGTAATCATGGTATCTAATGGCAATACCATCCAGGCAACAGATATGACAGATGAGTCTGTAGAAGAAGAAATATCAGAAAATACAAGACAAAGTTTGTAATATTGTTAATAATAATAATAATAATAGCTCGTTCTTATATAGCGCTTTTCAGGACCGGAGGCCCTCACAAAGCGCTTTACAGATAAGTATAAGTATAAGTATAAGATAAGTATATTATTACTCATGTACATGTACACCTTTTGTTTTTAACTATTTCACCTGCGACATTCTTCTCATCTCAGTACGCTTTCTTTTATAGATGTTTGGAGCATCCAGATGTTTTTCTTAATTACAATCAAACAACCCCTGCAGTAACAAAAGTAGTAAGTTACAGTTGATAACAATATTGCTTGATTGCTTTGCTCACTATAGCTCTATGACATCATTAAGTTTTGTTTTCGGAAAAATCTTAAACCCTGCAACATTCGATAGGCTGACAATTTGGTAGCGCTCACTTGCTCCTCAGGACATTTTTTTTTACACATCCTTGAAGCAGGAAAAATTTGCCTATCAAACACTAAACCAAAGCATAGTTAATTATATAGGGTCACATAAAAATAACTTAATTACTTCATACATTTCAATTAATTAACCATCTGTTCAAAGAAAATACAGATAAATCTTGTGATACTGCTTTCTGTGGGATATGGATATAAAAATTCACCAGCAGAAGAATTTTTTTTTGTGGAAGATTTCCAGAAATTAGAATATGTGAAACAGTCAAATTAAATTCTTCAATAGGATACATGTACAGTGTATATGTTGTAGATCATAAAACAAACTTGAAATGGTAAATGGCAATACATAATTTTATGTGGTTATGACTGTCTGAAGAATACTGACTAGCAACTTTTGATGTCACAGCTGATTCCCAAACTATTAACCAAAAAAATAATTCAGAGATTTTGTTAGTAAAAGATGGAATAATTACATACACAGTAATTACCTCCTGCCCTTGTGTAAGATGAATCCATCGCTTTGTGATACAGGTATAATAAGTAAGTTTGACACCACAATTATATTTTGATTTTATGGAAGAAATGTTGTTCCTTGAGCAAGACATCCATATCAGTTGCAAACGTATAAAAATATAAAATACAGTGTACCAACCCTCTACTATTTGAACACAATGCTTCAACGATTTGCAATATGAATATGATATTCTGATATACTTATTCTGGTTCGTTATCTCAAATTCATTTGATTGCTGTCTAAAGAAAAATTAAAATCAAATGAGACACAAATATGCACGAGTTGAATTGCGCTAACAAAATGAATTCTACACGTCTTCATCTTCAGTGTCTGTGTTCTCATCAAAGCATCTTCCATCAAGTGGATTTTCACAATCAGTACACTTGCACAGATCGGTGCATGGCACATTATGCTGCCGGCAAGAGCATCTTCCCTTGTTTTTCCCACTTGGGACCTTGCAGTTTGTCTTCTTGCAAGTGCACTGGGTTAGTTCTAGCACACTGCTAGGGGCAGGGGGTTGTTCTCCCCAGACAACATCTGTTCCTCCATCTTTCACTTTCCAACCATGACCATGTGGACTTGGAATGTCAGGGTTCTGCTCTAGACAAAATGTGTGTACTGTCGCCTGATAATTTTGCAGAAATTGCGATAGCATTCAGCACAGTAACCTGGAATGGCACGTTGTCTCCTATGTTTGTAAAAATGAAATAATGATAAAAGATAGATATCATAACAATTAAGAATTTCTGACAGTTTGAAGATAATGCTGCAATTGCCGGGGATACTTGATGTGCATTTCTTGTGATAAGGAGGAAATAGCTTGCTATGCTTGACAAGCAGTGAAGTTTAAACTCGTTAAGTGGAAAACAGTGACATTCCAAGGTAAGATTATGGGTGGTTTTTCCACAATGCCATTGTTGAGGATGGCTGAGTGCATGTCTAGATTTAATATATTTCAATTCCTATTTCCAGTTGGTCATGCTAGTCAATGCCAAATAATAACACCCCCTATGCAATGATCTTGAGTATCTCCATTCTCCAGTGAACTTTGATGAATTTACAAAAACAATTTAAGATTAAGACTCTAAAATTGACCTAGCTCAGACCAATTTAATCTGTCTCTAGCTTGATAACCTCTTAATTCTGTCCGCCTTAAAAACAAACAATAACATACGATTGCGATCGGTATAGACCTCTAGATCTTTGCCTTAGTTATGATATATATCCAGGGCAGGGCCTAGGCTCGTACTCCAAGATCGGTTGAACTTTTTTAGACCCCTCCCCAGGACGTCGATCAATTACATGTATGTGCCCCCCAAACATCAAACTCTGGCTATGGATCCGACTACAACCCAACCATATTTCAATAAGCGGCCACCGAACAAGAAGCAGATAATATTGGTCTTACTTAGTACCGTGACAGAGGCCATGGCCTCAGGAGAAAATTAACAAGGTAAATTCAGTTTCACTGTTCATACTAGGTGAAGGTCTACAGACTTAGTTACAGAGTACGCATAACTTTTCAGCAATTTTGGCTGTGAGATTACAATGTAAATAAAGCCAATAGCCCTCCCACCCCTTACAAAAAAAAAAAACACTTACCTCCCACTCCTTTCGTCATGATCATTATCACAGAGCTGTTCCCTGTCGATGTCTTGCTCTTCAGTAGCAGTCAGTGGCGGATCCAGGGGGGGGGGGCCCGGGGGGCCTGGGCCCCCCCTTGAGAAAAAAATCATGTAAAATCACGTGATTTTAACCTTTTTTGGGGTTGGGCCCCCCCCCCTGGGTCTCAAAGGGGGGGGGGGGTGCAAATTGAAATTTTTTTGAGGATCAAAAAAAAAAATTATGCTCACCTCCCCCCCCCCCCCCCCCCCCCCCCCCCCCACTGAGCGAATTTTTGGCCAGTGCGTTTTTCAAATTTTCGGGAGCAAAAAAAAAAAAGTTGGGCCCCCTCCCCTAAGAAATCCTGGATCCGCGCCTGGTAGCAGTTGGCGTTTGTACACTGTCCCAGTCATAGCGATCTGCTTTGTATGCAATCTTACTTTCGTTGGTATTTCCGCTTTTTTTCCATAGATTTGCACATTCCTTGAATTTTTTCTAAGAGGAATAACTCTGCTATGAGTTGCAACAACATGCATGCAACAAAATCCTGAAATTGCACCCTCACAATCGTCTGCAGATGCGCTGCTGGTAACATCAACGTTCGACGATGAATGCATCGCCATGTTCGCTGTATGCGCCTTCATGAAACGATTCATGTGATTGGTTGATATGTGTGGAATAATCCGATGCCCACATGAAAGAGGAAATGTAATTGGCTTACATTTTCAAGATTTTGGACTCAAAATTCACGTTTTTTTCATCTTTTCTAAATAATGGTGGGGTTTCAGGAATGCCGAGTTATCTTTTGTGCATCTACACATATTTTTGTATCATACTGTCTCAATAAATATTAGTTACTTTCGATGGGTCACGAAAGTTAAGAATTTTGGCCAATGGCCCTGGTCTATTTTAGCTCGTGCATATCCAATTTTAGACCGAAAACTTCAGTCTCTCTAATTGTCGGTTGTTCCACTGAGACTACGTCTGGCTCCACTAGACCTCCGGTCAACCAATTTCAATTTTATTAAAGAAATGACCCAATCAGACGGTTATTTCTGTCTAATCCAATTTATATTAGGCCCTAATATTTTAAATTAGGCCTAGGCTATAATACATCGGTTGCACTTACCAACTTGACTGAAATAATCTGTTTAATGGTCCCTTTTTAGGAAATTATGGGTCAAAATTGACATCCATGTTGAAAATCTTGCAAGACGTATTTTAACTCTCGCTGCGCATGACGTCATCTAAATCTCATTCCTTCTAGTCTACGCCAAAGGCAAAATGATTATGAAGGAAAAACTGCGCGAGCTACACGTTCGTAATGTCGTTATCACAGTTTTTCTTTTCACGGCAAACCGCTGCACAATTCAACATTACAATTGCATACCGTATAGCGTACCGACAGTGAGGTGCGGGGCCGTGGCCACGCATATGTAAAGTTAGCGACTGTAATCTCAGATCCTCATAAAATTCATGAGAGTAATTCATCAAAACGGTCGTTAACTTTAGGCGCGCGCCAGGCCACGCACTCCACCGTCGGTATAAAATTTACTGTGCAGCGGTTTTCCGTGCTTTAATAATAATTTTTTAGCATTTGTGGAACATGAACATGATAAGCTTTAGAATACATATTTAGAACTATATTAATTGTAGTTCTTTATATGAATGTCATCAACTTTTCTCTGATGACTCTGCTAACTTTCTAGCCAGTGGTGGACTATACCATGTTCACCCATCAACATCAATTCTCTTTTAGAATCTACAGCTTTATAATTATGAAAAGTGAGGAAAGTGAATTTTAAAGAAGTATTAATCTGCACATATTTTCTTGCTTGTGTACCATCAATTCTCAATGTTTGGCCTGCCAGGCCTGCATAATACTAGTTTTGAAAGTTTTGAAGTTCATCCCTTTTCTAATTCTATTATCACTTCATAATAACCCTGCCTGAGTAATTGAGTTTTGACTATGAGTTGTGGGAATCCTTGTTTATTTTTTGAACTTCTCGTGGATAAGTTACATGTATACCAAATCTCAATATTTTTGTAATGTAACCTGTTAGTGTTTTATAATAGCGGTAAGGCACAATCATTCTTTTCTGCAAATCTATCCTTGACTGAACAATACAAGACATACTGTTGTTGTTGTTGTTGAGTTATCGGCGCTATCCATCGGCAAGCTACCTGTACTTTGTACTTTGTACTCCACAGTACCGCCTGCCATGCCTATCATCCTATGGCAGTTACATCGAACGGGTATTCACAGTTGGTAGCAGAATACAGGTAGAGCCAAGATAAAACAGTCAGTTGTGTAGCTTATTGTCCCTGATCATATACATTTTCCTTTTCTTTTGCTTCAGATAAAAGTATTTGTTACCATGGATATTGTACTGAATGCTGTGGATACATACCTCCTCACGCCAAACAAAGTCTACCCAGAAGCATGGTCAGAGGACTACTGGCTCCGACAGACCATAACCCTCTTTGTAGTCGTCAATCTTGGAGGTGCTCTCCTATATTTTATTTCAGCTGGGTTCAATTATGTCTTCATCTTTGATCATCGACTGATGCAGCACCCCAAAATTTTAAAGGTTGGTACATATATTTCTTATTAAATGGAGAAGTACACCCTGATAATTATCTGGTATTAATAAAAGCAGAAAAAACAAGAGAAACAAATTTGTGAAAGTTTGAGCAGTATCCAATTACAAATAGAAAAGTTATGAGTTTTTGATGTTGTCATCAGTGAAACACAAATTAGCAACACTGTCACATATCATTATCTCGCAAGGTCCTTTCCACTTGGCTCTGTACAGAAAATTTCATAAAATTTCATATTTTTGTCTCGCCTGCATAGCAAAAGCAAAACCCTAGGCACCGCTTTTCCTGTATTAAGATGTACAGCTGTTCATTTCCTATAAACACGTTAGACAATAGACTGTTTTTCCGGAGACCTGACATTCTCGCGAAGAGATAGACTCCTCCCACTTTTGTCGGTGACTAGTTCAAGTCACTTATCGTGGGTGGGGTGACAAAACCTTACATCTCAATTTTTTGAGATTTTGATTTTTTTGCATAATTTTGTACCTAATGGCCTACGACACCACCTGATAAATCCATGTAACGCCTCCTCTGTTTATTCACACATTCCATTCCACACAAACACCCTTAAACTAAACCTCGTAACTTTAACCCCCTTTGAAACTGCACTGACAAAACCTCGTAACATAAGATAAGTAATTCCTTTTCCTCGTAACTCACACACGGCCTAACAGTACCGAAGTTAGTGTATTCAAATCCTCGTAACTTATTCGACCAAAACCTCGTAACTCATTCAGAGTTGAAAGAAAGAACTCGTATCTCAATTTGAATAAAAACTAAAAACTTGTATCTCAATGTATATAAACGCATAAACCTTGTAACTCACTTTCAATTATAAAAACAATTATTTTACTGTATTTCAACAATGACATTAAAAATTGTATAAATATTCCAGTTTTAAAAAGAAAGGACGGTGTCACAGCACTAAATTTGTTGAGACAGGAAAGTTTTTTAGGATGTGCTGTTAGTTTTACTCGTCTATAGGGCCGCCCAACCTCTGAGAGAATCAGCTACTAGTTTGAAATGTTCTAAAATAATTAATCTTCGTTTGTAACTACTGGAGCTTCGGCTGACTTTTATAATTAATAAAGTGGACTTCAACTATATGTCCGAGCTTCTTTCGTTTTCATTTTGTTTCTGAAATTGTTGTCACCGACCCATTAACGGGCCCATTACAGTCATTTCAGGTCAACTAACTTACAAGTTACATGTAGACTATGTTGTGGCATCAACATCAAAAACTTAACCAAAGGTTAGGATTTTGAATTTTTAACATAATTTTGAAAGTATGCATTCCTCTTTGATGAAACTTGAGCATAGGGATTATAAAGTACCCCCAATCATGTGATTAGTCATTTAGGTGAAAAAGTCAAGGCTAAATGTAATTTCAGGGCTGCAAACTTACAGTTTGTTGTGGCATCAACATCAATTCAAGATTTTGAATTTTTAGTATAATTTCAAAACGGTTTGTTCAAATTCCATGAAACTTGTATTTTCAAGTACTGGTATCACAAATCATAATATGACACAAATTCCAGGTCACAAAGTCAAGATCAAAGGTCATTTTAGTTCAGTAGACTTGGATTATGTTTATATTATAAATCAATTTTTGTTATTTGTTCATATTTCATTAAAGTTATCAATCTTAGTACAAATAATAGTAAATAATTCTTCTGATGATTCTTAGTCAATATTTACTTCAAAATGCTGATTATATTCAGAGGATTTCATTTTTAGGGGCCTCTTAATGGGCCACCCTGCCTATAAATAATGTCCTTAGCTCAATTTTTCATCATATTGAATTGCGCAATGCAGGCGAGACCACTGAGAGCGTTTTCCTTGTTATTGATAAGGGAATAGATTTGTTTCATACAGGGGTTGTATAAAAACATATTTAAAACATTATGATTAGCAGGACAAATCATGACAACGTCATGTTATTTCCATGATTGGAATTCCATCTCTTGTAAACCGTGACTTGAGACATGTCTCCCCCAAAATCACAAGGGATGAGGAATTATCAATAGGGCATACTGATCAGGAAGTGTCTATAATGTCAACACTGAGACTCTACAGTACAATGACGGATTAGATTATTTTCTGTAGACCCACTGTCAACACTGACCGCGGTCACACTGACGACCATTAAAAAGCTCAGCATGAAGAGACGTAAGGGCCTGAGGAGCTAGCCACAGTAAAAACAAAAAACAAACCCAAAAGCAATAATAATGATGGCATTTTGTTAAAACATGGTCCTTTTTACTTGTAGTGTGAAAACATGCCCATACCTGACAAAATGTTGATTGCTAGCCTTTTTTGCAAACTCTTGTGCTTATTTACCTCATACACTGTATTAATAAAAAGTGTTGGGTCAAGACGAGATTTTTTTGTATTGGTTTTTCAGAAAATGTCTTTTAAACTGGACTCAACACTTCGGCACTAAGAGGGGCCTCTTACACAAGCGATACACCCAACCCTTCTGGAATTCGGGCATAATTATTCACAAAAGTTTGTGTAATGTGAAAACCCGACCAGAGGTGAAGACCAGATGGAACGAAGTAGCCAGTCAGCTGATAATTCAGTGCTTTACTAAATCAGAGTTCTTTATTTACCCTTCTCCCTATGCAAGCAGACATGCTGCCCCCTACCAGGTGTATGATCTGGGAGTAGGCGAGTAGCTCCTTACAGTAAAACTACCATCTGATGGTACTTAAGCATTTGTGTTCTTCACTGGGCCTGAAGCCCTGGGGCAGGATCCTGAAAGTTGATCTGATATTAAAGTTCCCATATCTACAGGTCTAGTTGGCATGAGGTGTGTTATTTGTTTATAAATGAGGAGTTAAAGAGAAAGTTGAGTTCTGGGAAGAGGTAGAAAATAATTTGTGAGCGTTATCATTCTTATTATGCAAGTGTGGAAGAACATCAGATAAGACATGTTCCCTGAAAAGCATGGCTCTTCAAATGCCTTCATATTCTAAATATGTCATGTAACATCGTAAAACTCAGGGGTAGGATTTTTACGCCATGTATTTGTGTTGTCCCATATACATCTTTCTGTGTACAGTGTTTGTAACTTTCCCAAGACTTGGCCAAATTTCTTATCATTTTGATGATTCCAGAACATTGCAATACACATGAATTCTTATATGCTAGATGATCAACCTTTTCTGGTCGATTCCACACCGTTTCTTTCACAATGCAATCGCATGACCAGAACTCAACTTCATCTTTAAAGAGTTGTGATATCCTGAAGTTACAGGTGAACTATTCAATCCATGTTTCTCTTTATATTTAACAGAATCAAATCCAAAAAGAGATAATGTACACACTGTGGTCTATTCCTTTCATGGGCATCCTGACAGTCGTCATGTTTATGCTAGAGGTCAGAGGTCATAGCCAGCTTTATGATAGCTTCAGTGAGAGTCAGCTTGGTATGTATATATACACACTACCTACTTTGCTCTGTAGACATGCAATTGGATCGGTCTCATGGTACATGCAGATGTCTTGCTATATAATTATAACACGAAAGGGGGATGGACGAACCGGAACGTATGGATGACCTAAATACATGACTGTGGCGCTACTGTGGGCAGGCAGAGGCCTGCAAAAGGGTTATAGTTTAAATGTGTTTATGCCTCTGTTCACCGAAGGTGATGCTGGAGGCATTGTTTTGGGGTTGTCTGTTCATCCGTACGTCTCGCTTTCTCATGTTCAAAGCTCATCCAGTGTCAGCTGAATTCATTGTACATGATTTAGATACAAGGTTTTGTTGCCCCTACGGAGATCTAAAAACAATAATTATCGGCAAGGTTTTGTTGCCCCTACGAAAATCTAAAAACAATAATTATCGGCAAGGTTTTGTTGCCCGTACGGAGATCTAAAAACAATAATTATCGACAAGGTTTTGTTGACCCTCCGGAGATCTAAAAACAATAATGCTTGAGAATTTACACACTTGTAAAAATATGTGTATTTTCAAAACGGTAAAATGAAACCGCCCATATACTTTTAACAGTTAAACGTTTAGCACAAAAACCATAATGACTCGGGCTTAGTATCTAGTATTTGTCATGTATTTTGTTCTAATTATTATTAATTATATTTTGTTCTAATTTTTCTTCATCCTCTTATTTTGTAGGATGGCTTCGTCTGCCATGGGAAGTGTTGTCATTTCTTTTCTTCACTGATATGTGTATCTACTGGATCCATCGCTATCTCCATCATCCCCTGATCTACAAACATCTTCATAAGGGCCATCATATGTGGAAGGTTCCAACTCCATTTGCTAGCCATGCTTTTCACCCTATTGATGGCTTCCTACAGAGCCTTCCATATCATCTTTATCCTTTCATCTTTCCCCTTCACAAAGGAGTTTACCTAACCATGTTTGTCTTTGTTAACTTTTGGACAGTGAGTATCCATGATGGTGATTATCGTGTGCCAGATGCAATAAAGCCATTCATTAATGGTTCAGCCCATCATACAGATCATCATCTCTTCTATAATTATAATTATGGTCAGTTTTTCACCCTTTGGGATAGGTTGGGAGGATCCTTCAGAAACCCCTCTTCATTTGAGGGTAATGGCCCTTTAGAAGATGTCCTTAAGCTTGCTAACACTGGGCCTCTTTCCTGTCAGAGCAAGGCAAAATCAGAGATGAATCTAGGTCCCTCTAGTGAAGAAAACAACTACAATCTTCGGAAACGCTAGGTGATCATTTAATTCATTCATGACAGTGATTTTTGAAGAGCTAAATTGATCAGCTATTTCTCTAACTAGCACAGCTGTTATTTTCTGGTATCAATTGAATATACGCTTTCCTAATGTTGGTATTGTAGCTGAAAAGAAAATAAAAGGACAGAAATGGTTTTGTTTTTTATTGACATCTTTGAATGTTAAACAGTGAATTTGTACTTTCTAATGGTTCTCCAATTAAGTGATATGCATACAAATTGTTTAATGAAAATTTGGGGCAACATATATGTATGACATTATTTGATATATCAAGTGTGTGCAATTTTTGAAGAATTTGTGTTCTATCTGTTTATGCATGGGGTAAATACTGTAGAACTGTGAATTCGAAGTTGTTGGGCCTAATCACAAAGTATGGTGTTTTTACTTGAAGGAGATAAATAATCATGAAAAGTTGATTTCATGTAAATCCATACATTGATTATACATGCAGATATATGAGATATGCTTAGGGCTTGTTTGGGGCAATTCCAGCATAGCGCACATGACATTTAGAACATTTTCATTAATTTAAGAGTTTAACAAAAAATTAAGAGTCCTAAAACTTAGTTCAGTCACACACATTTGACTATCGGTGTAAATTTCACAGTATGAAACAGAATAGTTCAGAACAGAAATAGACTCCTCATAACCTTAATTGACGTTACACAAATGGACAAGGATTTTTAGCTCACTGTTTTCAGTTTGAATAGTCAGTCATTTTGGGGGAATTCAACAAACTTAGTTTGTGTATTAACAAAAGCTTTTAATCATACTCTAAACACAGATACACAACAATTGGATATATTTATTTTTCTTGCAATAGCTAGATATTTAGCGTAACAGACAGGACATTTTTGTCTGCATTTTATAAACGCCTATTTATGTAGCTTTGCTTTAAGAAGTTCAATGTTTTATGAAAAGCTTATCAGTATTTATCTTTGATCCCTTCAACATAATTTATTACCAAATAATCAAATCTTAAGTGCTTGTGTGAATTAATGAGATAAAAAGATTGTATATTGTGACTAAAAATGTTGCTGTATTTGCCCTTAAATTAAGGGTATTTAAAAAAAAAAAAAATCATGCCTGGATATTACCTCTTCCCATTCATGTACTACTCAAAGTGACAAGCTTGTTAACTCTTTGGCCCGAATTCACAAAGCAAGGTTTGAGCTCAGACCAAGGTTTGACCTCAAACCTCCTTTTGTTTCGCCAAACCTCCTTTTGTTATTTACAAACCAGGTTTGTAAATAACAAAAGGAGGTTTGGCGAAACAAAAGGAGGTTTGAGGTCGAACCTTGGTCTGAGCTCAAACCTTGCTTTGTGAATTCGGGCCTTTATGTTTGATACCAAATTTGCCACAGTTGCATACATGTACACCTTTCTGGAGTTGTTGCCAATTGTATGATTTTTTTTACTTTTTAGCCAGTGAACATTTCCATGGAATAGCCCTTTAATCTTATGTCTTGTTCATACCATGTTAGTAAAATCAAAGGAATTGAAAAATACATGTTATGCCTTGTGGAGATGAATCTAATTTTGATTATGATTATATAATATTTGTTTAAATCTGTTATAAAGCGGTCATAGTTAAAGGAAAACATATGTTGCTTTAAAAAAAGGAGTATTTTGTATTTACCACTAGCATTAACAAAATTGACCACTAGCGCCATGCAGTGTAATAGCAAAGCGTATCGAGCTGTCACATGTACAAAATGATGGGGGAATGTCAAAATTTTTATTTTGTAAAATAGAGAATCATTTGTTAAAAAGAATGTCCATTGTTTTGAAAATGGAAGTGTAAAGTTGATAGTGTCCATACTCCTGTCTGTTGGTCAACTGTTCATAGTTAACTGCACATCACTCAATTTAGGTAACAAGGTCAATACCCACAATACCAGGACTTTCCTTATTTGTACTTTATTTCATCACCATCTAAAACATTTGATCAGAAGATTTAAAAGGCCATCAGATTATTTAATTCAAATATTAAATCTGAACAATATCCATAATTTGTAAGCTGGAATGATTTCTTATAAACAACGTGCAAGTAATAATTTCTTGTTTTTTCTCGTTTCTTTTGCATCTGGCAGTGAATTTGTTTTCTTTCTGTTTACTGCATAGGAGAAAATATTGTGAGTCAAATAGATCGACTGACGTGGCAGAAGATACAACACTAAATAACTACTAAATACCTTTTATAATTTCTCAAATTATGGTATATCATTTATTGTCCAAATTTGAAATTCTGACTCATTTGATAACTTTTTGTTGTTGGTGTAGTTGATGTAAAGATACGCGATAACCAAATATCTGGTACCGTCTCAGTTGAATAAATAATATGGCTATCTTAACAAACCAGTCTGCCGACTCTCTATTATCCTGAGTTATCTACCATTACCATGGACCCTCAAACTCATCAGTTGATGGCTCGATCATAAGACGTTTCAGTATACAAGTGTGTTTTTTAATCTGTATATAATGTTGGTTTTATACACAGTCACCTATAATCAACCCGGCCCATTCAACCATGGATAATTGCTCAAAAGGATTGAACCTAATGAAGCAGAGTAAGCACATGTAATCTTTCCACATATTAAAGTCTATCCGGAAACGATAGGCAATTATTTCAATCATATACATGTAAGTGTACACTGCCGATACACATAATTGTTATTTTCACACTAATCAAGTACTGTTTATTTACCATTCTGGTGATGATTAAAAGCATGATTACTGCTGGAAATCTAAATATTTGTTGGAGCTTTTTGATTTGATCTTATCATTCAACTATTTATATTTATGACCTTATTCTAAAATGATTGCAGAAAGTGATTACATCAATAAAATAATATGATTGAAACGTCAAATTATAACTAGATTTGAATTCATCACTACCGACAAAGAAATCAACATTCTTTATAAAGATCTTTACCACATCGTCTCACAAATATCTTTACATCATCCTCTCACAAAGATCTTTACAACATCCTCCCACAAAGATCTTTACAACATGTTCTCACAAAGATCTTTACAACATCCTCTGACAAAGATCTTTACAACATCCACTCACAAAGATCTTTACAACATCCTCTCATAAAGATCTTTACATCCTCTTATTCTTACAAAGATCTTTACAACTGTGACAATATTTTTGTTATGAGACTTACAAGTTTTAACACTGTACTTGCCTATTCAGATAGAGGGCGACAGACAACTGAATAAAGTGAGACACGTAATGTCAAACATCATTAGGCACGGTGAGTTATATCAGTCTTTGATTAGTGAAAAACACATAACAACATCCTCTCACAAAGATCTTTACATCATCCTCTCTCAAAGATCTTCACATTATTGTTAGAGGGAGGGGGACCCCCATTGGGTATACCCGGGGTTCTCGTCATGTACAAATACTGTAAGCACGCGTAATTACCACAGGTATGCCAGATATCCCCTAAACGAGGATTTCTTCTGAAGCCACAATACACCCTAAATATGTATTTTGCGTGTTTTTTCTCTTCCGAATTCACACCCTAAAAGGTATTTTAAAAAAGGGTACTACTAAACACATGGGTGTCGATCTCGGGGGGATGGGGGGGGGGGCCCAATATTTCAGGTGGGGGGGGGGGGGATGGCCTGTACAATCATCCCCCCCCCCCAATAAATTTTTTTTTTAAATGAAGAGAAATATTAATGATTAGAGCCCGATTAGAGTAGTTAATGGTTATTACTCGCAAGATGACCATCAATATACACATTTTGCTATCTCATTTTCATAATACATACATATATATACAGGGCGTATCATAATAAAGGATATTGAAGTTTAATGACGATTTATATGATCACTACTGATTTCATAATCAAGCATTTTATGTCTGTTGTAAAGGACAGAATGTCCTCTTTTTAATGACACCCCCATCATACTACTACTGTCACAGTTGACTGAATAACAAAGCATTGCTGTCCACCATGTGAAAGGTGCACTGTGACAAGTTAGCATTCACAGATAAATTCTAAAGATTAGTGCTTGTGTCAGCCCAGACATATCGAAATGCTGAACAATGAGTGGATTATGTGTCTAAGAAGGAAATGTTATCAAACTTGGCGGGGGGGGGGGGGGGGGCGGGGACGTCCCCTCTTAATTTTTTTTTTAGAGGGGAAAATTTGAAAAAGTTCATTATAAAAGTGTTTAGCAAATACTGACTAAATCATTCTCCAAAATCTATTTTAAAAAAGTTACCTTTTCCCTTTGGATACGTGCCCCCTTTTCTTCTCATCATAAAATGTACTCCTAATTTAGAGCCCCACTATAACAGCCCCTATACTTGTAGCTACGTTAATCCCTCTACATAGAAAACAATGACTTAGCCGGTGCCCGTTGGTCCCCCATGCCATGATTCTCTCAATTTTCTTATGTTAATTGAGAGAAATAGCCTGATGAGATAAGCACCTGTCAGTGACCATGCAGTGAGGGGCCAGGCCAAACTAGTGCAGATAGGCTTATAATTTCCCACTTTATGCATTGCGACTTCACAAATCTTAGAATCTTTGTTCGCTCGCTCACAAATAAATATTCGGACCATCACACCCAACTGCAAAGTATGATGCTTAGCAGTATCTTGGACCATGTAAAGAGAGAAACAAACGAAGAACTTCCTATATACCAATGTCTCTAAATTGTGTATTTTTGCTTTGCGGTTTCCCTTGTAGGTGCCCCTTTTTTCCCCATAAAATTCCCCTTTTGATTCCTCATAGCTATACTCCCCATATATAGCCTATGTCCAGAATTTCCATTTGGTATTGTCTAATTCATGATGAATTGCTTGTTGATCTGAAAAAATGTCATAAAATGCTCTAAAATATAAGGCTGATATTGCATCAGAGAGAATCTAGAATCTCAGAGCTTCCAGGGCCCTGGCCGTTCCATGCAAAGTGATTTCGCGCATCACGCTCATGAAGCACATTCAGATATCAGGCCGCGGTGAGTACTTCAACGCCACACCCCTCCCCCCCCCCCCCCCCCCCCCTGCCTATGATCGACAATCTTGTCCATTTTATATCAGGAACTTATCATCTACAAGCAACGCCTTACAATATAGGTTCTCACATTTTACTTATAACCTAGCCATGTGAATTGTGTATCATTGTAACGTGCTTATATACCACATACATATTTGATTTCTTTTTCTGTCTCTTTTTACTTTAAATGTGGAGACAAACCCCGAGAAAATCAAAAGAAAAACGTGAAAACTTGAAATGCAGCTATGGAAAACCCCAGGACTTTTTAAAGCTAGGATATCGAAATTCATGACGTTGGATGGAATAATCCCCTCTAACGTACCTCTGCTGTTTGGTTGCTGTGGTACCTCGCGGGTCACATTAATGATGCCATCCAATTTTAAAACATCCCCCTTAAAAGCGCCTGCTGTATAATTCTTTTTCAGAGAAGTCATTTGTCAGTGATAACCGGCCCAAGTGAGCGGAAACCGGCCGGCAGGCTGCGTACGGATCGAGGGGATTCCCCCGAAAAGTGCGCCTGCGGGTGCTGCATGCTATAGTACGAGCGTGCTTGGTGTGACCATGTACCAGGGAGTTGGAATGGACTGACTCGTGACTCTCATAAACAGCACTGACCAAGAAGAAAAGAGTACCATACACTTTTAATAGTAGCGGACCAGTGCTAGTCTGGACGGACGCGGTGCTAACTGTGCCCCAACTAAACTAAAGTCAAATATTGTTTTGAGTTGACTTTAACCTAACTGTTTAACACGCTGAAGCCAGCAGTTATTACCAGCATGCCCATGTCGGCCTGAGCTGAACTCTGTGAGCTGAGTCCCAGTGTGAAATCAACTGGCAGTGCAAGACTCCAATATGCATCACTACATCTGACCTGAATACAAACAAAGAGCTATAGTTCTTGTGCATGATTGAGGAAAACTCTTCGTAGTTATTAGGTTATTCTTGGCCTCTGTGTGTGTTGTGACATTTTAGCACTTACCAGCTGGCCAGCCTCTCAAAATTGACAATGGGGGAGGTAAGATTATCATATTTGTCTAATTTAATCTGATTTGATTTGACGTCAATTGACGGTGCTAGTTCAGAAGGGTATCGATAGTTTGACCCGTAACTCTGGTGTGGAGATACCCTATTGAAATATACCCAAAATGAACTAAATATTCATCAAATGTCCAAATAAAGGTCATTATTTAAAAGTTGATACATTTGTTACCTGTTTCGTGTCAATTTTCTTATCTTTTTCGGAGTATTTTCCCTAAAAACAAAGACTTAAAATATGTACTTTCTCACGGGATCCTGATTTACGGCAAACTGAAGCACAATACAATAAAAACTGTCCTGTCAGTCGGGTGCGGGCGCGCGTGTGTTAAGTTAGCGACTGTAATCTTAAGAAAATAGCAGCAGGATAGTAAGATCCAAACTTAGACTTAAAAAGACTTGGCGGGAATCTTGACTTTAGACTACTGGTATGTAGATTTCTTGTAGAGCCTTATACTTGCACTGTACACTCGGCACTTGACAAGCACGTGATGATATTCCAACGCCGTTCTGTACAGTACACTCGAAGAAGAAGAAGAAGTCCATATACTATAGCTTCATTCATGGACTATCAGATTATCATCAAAATTGGACATAAAAATCCATCTGCTTGATCATCTTGGAGGAGTTAAAAGAAAAAAAATTAGATCTAAAAAAATTCACCTACCGTTAGTCTATTTTGTCTTTAATGCTCTCCAAGAAAGGCTCACAAAACCCTCCTGAGGGAAATCAAATACCTCAAAGAAAAAAGAAATTGCGAACTTTGTACATGGACATACATGTAGTGTGATTGAAAACTTCACTCTGCATTACAAATTTACCAATTTACAGACTTCAGTTACTAATTATAATAAAAACACTCATTCTTCAACAGTACAAAGTACTACTGTAATCAAGTTTTCCAGTGATCTCTGCAGTTTCTTCTCATGTACAATATACAGTACCGTATATAATTCAGAGCGTTTTGAGGCTCCCATCCTAGTCAAGCATCGCTTATGATTGCGGTCTCCTGCACTTATAGTTCAGAAAATACTTTAAATTGATAATGATATGTTATAGAAATATTAATGTTTGTTATTATATGTATGTATATGAAAGACAACATTTTGGCATGAAGTTATTATTGTTTGTATATTTTGTATTATACCTTATGTTTATATGTTCTTTGTTATTCAGTTATTATATTTGGAAAAATGCTGAATTCAAATAAAATTGAATCAAATAAAACGTCACTGAAAGGTGTCATAAAATTGCTATGGGTTAAAAGACGTAATAATTCAAGACGTACCACTTCACATGTTGGCTGCAGCTGTACTACTACTAGTGAATATTGTGTTGTTGTATCAAGGTATACAAGACTATTCAACAATATGAGCAGTTGCTAAAAATTTGAAAATTCGTTACTTTAAACCTCTAGCTCCCAAACATTTTTAGGAACTGAGTTCATGTTCTTCCAGACTCCATGTTTTTAATTATATGTGATATAATTGTAGGCCTTTTAATGGAACATAGAGTGCTGCCGTATCCAGACAACTGCCCCCTGAATGAACAATTGTCCTGCAGGCTACCTGTGGTACAATTAATTCTCAGGAAAATTGCTCCCAGGACACTAATACCCCTTTCAAACTGGCCTGATTTTCATCAGATGCATCCGGACGCATCCGATGAAATGGCCACTATGAATCGTACAGAGGAAAAAAAGGCGAAAGAATAGCCGATGAAATTAAGATAAATTGGCGATTAAATTCTCCTGCTCAAGAGCAGGAAAAAATACTCTTTCTATCGGTGTGACGTCCACCGATGAAACAGCCACTGTGAAAGCGTTCGGGGAAAACATCGATTAAAAGACCAATGAAAATGGTCAAAGGTCGCAGTGTATGCATGCTTTATTGTAACCAGCTGTGGTTGTTGACTTTTTGTTGAATAATTGCGCAATAATTCTTCACTTCCGGCAAGGGCTCGATCGCCACAGTGAGTGAATTTCACCCGCAGTATGAAAAAGACAGCAGGGAAAGCGGCGGTTTCACCTTTGTTTATACATGTGCATAAGGAAAATTCAATCTGTATTGTCATCGTGTAGTGTGACTCCGATAGAATTAGCACTATGAAAGGGGTATAAGTCCTAGTCCTTTGAATGTTTACTCAAGTATTTGAAAGCTTGAAATCTGGAATGATCATTCCAATCATTCCGAAAGGTACGTGTATACAATTTTTCTGTGCTGCATCCCATCTGTTCAGTTAAAGCTGGTGTTTTAAAAACAGATCTAGAGAAGAACGACAACATGTAGAAGATGGAAAAAATGTTTGATGAAAATAAAATTGTTGATTTGTTGTGATTTAATGTTTTTGTGACATTTCATATTTTTAGTACAAGGCCATTCAAAATGATGATAGAGAGGAAGCAGTGATCAAGGATGGAGCTGTGAAGCGGGGACTGTCATGTTCACTTGTTGCTGTATTCTTCATTGCTATTCTAACAAGCCTCATCTTTCTGGTTATCTGGGTCATAGCAAATCCTCCAGTGGTGAACCCTGCGCCAGTACCTTGCGATGACCCTTGCGTGTAAGTATCCAACAAATATTAAACTGAATTTAATACAAGATTTTTTTTTTAAAGGACCCAAAGAGCATGGTTTAATCTTCTATTGTTTTGTTTTGTTTCATTTTAGTTTTAAGCTGTATGAACAAGTAGTATAGTCTGTAAAAAAAAAGGATCTAACAAAGTGTTTAATTGTTAATTTGTTTAGGTGTAATTCTCTGAAACTTTGAACAATGTGGCAGTAATTAAGTACATCTGCAATACAATGTATTTATTCCTGATCTGTGTATTACCTGCCCTTTGAGATTAGGTAACTTGGCTATTTTAATGTTATATTTATTACAGCCTTTATACATTGGTATATCACATGGGTATATCACATGGGTTTCTTCCATTGTCTACAAAGTTCTAAAAACCTGTCAAGATGATTCTAAAAGGTAATACAAAGTTTTGGGAAATTTTGATACATTTGGAGGCCCCTATAGATGTATTATAGGCACTAAAAAATTTAGACCCTAAAACACTTCTGCTTTCGAGAAAAATTGAATAAATATAAAAATTATCTGGTACTCCCGGTAAATTTTGATAAATTTCAAATAGCGCCTACGGCCGTATAGCCTTTTGACAAGGCCTCGTTGACTCTGGCTAAGCGGCTGAGATGAGTCTAGATACCCGGAGTGAACGCGCGACCGAATGACGAATGTCATGAGGCCTTTTGGAAAGTGGGTTTCACTGCTCCGCATGAATTATTCATAGATACATATTAGCATGCCAATACGTCTACTTTGGATTTATTGACCAATCAGAACGGCGATCTCCCAGTTGGCTTCGTTCGTGATTCGTTCCATGTAGAGGTCAGTGGTCTTAGCACGTACGTATAGTAGGCATGTAGGTCCATGTTCGCACTACGTAGAGTTTACTGTGTGTGTGTGTGTGATGGATACTATATGCTGACGTCGTGCGAGGATACGTTCGCTGATTGGACACTACGTTTTCTGAAGCGAGTTCCAGTCGGAAACAAGGGTTAACATAAGAAATCCAAACCAGATTGATAAAGGCCACAGGTCTGGACAATTCGCACTGGTGTTCATTCAGGTTTTCGCGATTAGTATCTTTGTAGTCGCTCGGCGTCTATCAGGCATGTGGCCTTGTTTAAAGGCTAACGGCCGTACAGTGGTAGCTGCGACCATGAAAATCTCAGAATATGTAGTTGTGATATATAATTTCCAAACAGAAATAGCTAATTGGTCAATTTTAGTCAAGAAACATTGTTTTATGGCTTAATTAATATCTTGACCTTGAGAGGGAGCTATACAACATAAAGAGTTTATTATTAACAATTGCATAAATTGAGACTCGATTTCAACCGCGACAACGATCACTGAATATTGTAGGATCGCATATGCTTCCAATATGTTCATTTTTAACCAAATTCATGACACCATACCAAAACTTTGTATTACCTTTAACTTAAGCCACACATTTCCTAGGAACAACTTTAAATGTAAACTGTTTGTTTACTTGATGCCTTTAGAACAAACTTTCTGGCATGGCCAGAATAGGTCTGAATCTTTATAGAAATGGCATGAGAATGAGATATAATGATATAATTTCTTTTAAATGTAAGTTGTATCCAACTGAGATCATTTAGACTACTGCAACCTTCCTATCTTGCATCTTGGTCACTCGCTCAAAGTCAAAGAACACATCAGTTCAAGTCAAAGGTGTATGGAATATGGAAGCGCATAACAAATGAATAAGGGAATAAAGATTTCAATATGACAAAATCAAAGTCCTTGGCCTCATCTTTTAAAGAGTTGTGATTGATTCAAATTGGTTGCAGCTTGGAATTGAATGCAACTCTTATCTCTTAAGTACACAGTTTTTTATTAATTTTAAATTGGGAATGATTTGAATCTATCACAACTCTATATAATATGGGGCACAGTGTGAACATATGGTTCATCAAATACTTGTTTTCACCATGCTATTCTTGAAAATACAGCTTGAAAGTGAGTTTAAAATTTTACTTCCATTCCCCCTTTTTTTCTTCTTTATAAGGGCAGGTCCAAGCTATTGTCCCCTCTGGGGGTCAAATTTCATCTTTATATATATTTAACAAACTATACCTCATTTTAAAGCTGAAACTATGAATTTTATGAATCTGATAAAAAAAAAAAAAAATTATCAAAATACGAAGAGTGCCAAGGTCACGAACTTCGATTTGTATTAATTAGCGTGACGTACGGGACATTACATTTTTATTTTTGTATCTCATTTGAATTATTTGTTTAAAATTAAATATCTCAGGACATGAAGACCATCATGCTAGAAAATAGGAAAAAAATATAAAAACTTTCAAAATTAATTAATTATGCAAATGAGGTAGGTTCCAAAGTGTGATGTCCCGTACGTCACAATTTGATCATAATTTGTTTAATTTTAATTATGAAAATAATTTTTTTTTTTAAAGATATTCTAGGAAGTTCTAATTTAGATGAATACCTAACAAAAAATAGGTTTAACAAAAATTTCAAAAATTCTGTGTTGATTACATAATCAAATTAAGAAATGTGACGTACGGGACAAGTGTGTGACGTACGGGACAACACCATATAAAACCAATGCGAGATGTGAAAAAGGAAATGACCAAAAGGAGAATATATACTGTGTTAGGAAACTCGTTGTATACAGGGATATATGAACATTCCAACTGGGTCCCTTCTAGGAATTTACTTGTTTGTACTTTTGTTGTTGTTTTATTTAATTGTTGTTAATGTAATTAATCTTCAAGCCAGACCCCTGGTATTATCAACTTTGGTATTTTGCCAGTTGATGTCTCCAACATTGGCAGGATGCTAAATATGTAAATCATAATAGTGTACTAGTTCCTGGAATGAGTCTAATGCAATTATATGGTAGTGGATGCACCAGAAGCTGGCTTTTACAACTCATAGATGCTGCAGGTAAGAATAGCACATGTATGCTATCAAGCTCTCCATGTGAGGTTTTTTGATATTCTATTTAAATGTCATATATGATGGTAAAGGATTACAGCATGCACTGTACATGTTATGGGGCCAGCTCGGGAATTCTGATCTCCTAAAAACTAAATCAAACTTTTAAAGAAGGATAGCCTTTTAGAGTATTTCACACTCTCACCCACTTAAGATTTTTTATCCCTTTTACACCCATGCATTTTTGTTGAGTTTGCTTTAAATTAATCTTTTGAATTGTGGAAAAGGTCACACAAACCTTTAGGGTTTTAATTTCTTATATCTGGTGGTGTTAATAAGATGTTTTAATCAATACAAAATACATTCAAGATTTATATTTTCATATCCATCTTTCACAAACATGTAGGCTACATTAATGTACATCAAAATTCTTGAATATATGACAGCAACATAATATGTTCTTATCTGTGATAAAAGGATATAAAAAAAGACAATATGTCCAGCATTATCTTTGAATTCCTTCAAAATTCTATGATATTACTATCAAATAATTCAAACAAGCTATGAAGAAAAGATTTCATATTTTTAATGTATCTTTGTTCACAAACACTTAGAACATAAGAAATGTTCTTTGACAAAATATGATGTGCCAAGTGTGCCCCTGTGTTTCAAACAAGTTTAAATAAAAGTTTTCAAGTTCAAGTTCATCTTCTTCATTAATTATTGTTTAAAAACATTTTGCAATGTTGAATGGAATGGATAAAAGAAATGAGAAAAGAAGCATGACTGCACATGATAGATGGGTAAATGGAATACAAATGGTAATATAGTGTGTATGAATATTAATTCAATTTGTTTTCTTTGTTAAAGTAATATTTGTATTGATTTACCTCATAAATTAACACAGATGATATTAAGTGATGGTCAGAGGATCTAATTGGGTTCTAAAACACTCTAATTGTCACTGATTTAAGTTAATATTGTTCACATTTAACAAAATTTGACGAAAATTCTCCATTTCAATGCATTTTCCCATAGGGAAAAGTTGTCCCGTACGTCACGTGTCCCGTACGTCACATGCACACATTTATGTTTTGGTATATTACATAATAACGAAAGGTCAGAAAAATATGGTAATAGTTGTGATTAATGCTTGATTCCATAATGAATTAAGATATCATTACCATAAATCTCATAACTTAATAAATTCAGAGAACTTTTATGATGAACTTATTTTTGAAAAAGTCAGAAATTCTCTGGTCCCGTACGTCACGCAGCACATTAATTACATTAAAAATTAATTTATGAATTGGTCAGAACTAAAACTTTCCACAAATGAACTAGCCCATAATAGCCACAGACTCATACCAAAAGATAGTCGTATAAATAATGTCATCCATTGTTATTTCTTGTTTAAAGTCTCTGAATGTCCCGTACGTCACAAAGCAAATAGCTTGGACCTGCCCATAAATATATGGATATTCTTGAACCCTTTCTAGTGTGATACTGGCGGAATCAATGCCATTGAACCTGACCTTCCCAGACGGGTCTCCGAGATTTCAGTCAACTTATGCCATCTGGAAAGAGTTACTTGCCACTGCCAAAGAGACTATTGATATATCCTCTTATTATTGGACACTCAGGGGAAAAGATATATTCAATGATACTTCAGACTTTGAGGTTAGTTTGACCCTCAGGGGTAAAGATATGTTCAATGATACTTCAGACTTTGAGGTTAGTTTGACCCTCAGGGGTAAAGATAATGTTCAATGATACTTCAGACTTTGAGGTTAGTTTGACCCTCAGGGGTAAAGTTATATTCAATGATACTTCGGACAGTGAGGTTAGTTTCAAGGATGACAGTTCAATATCAGGAGAGGGTCACCACTAGAACAAATTGTTTGTGCTTATTATTCACTCAATATTATGTTTGGTTGGCAGGTACCCTTTATTATATATAATGTTTAGCATACCCAGTATTTGTGGATATCTTGTTAGAGGGCATTACCAGTAATGTGAACAAATTGTAAGCAGATTGTATGAACCAAAAAATGATCCACAAACTTTACATGGAATTCTATAGGTTATCAATCAAGGAGCAGGATAGTATAAATAACATATTTACCGGTACATCCCATACATATAACCCAACATACTTGGGTTCCATGTACATCCCCTTTTCTAACCGAGTGTGTATGGGTGCATCTAAGTACAAGTTACATTTGAAGCTCTTATACTCTATGCACTCAGCATAAGAAGAAGGTGGGTACTATAAATAGTTAATATTTCAAATAAATATTTGATATAAACTTATCTTTCATATATCAAGATCAACATAAATTTATCCTCTTTTGAGATGATGTTCAATTTGAATCGTACCATTCACGCATGAGTGAGCATAGCCACTTGACAATAAATGAGTCTCTGAAAGAAATTTGCAAAAATTGAATGGGGCATCCCGCCATTCAAATGTAGATGAGCATTGGAGGTATCCTATGGCTCTTCCACGATCTTGGATGGAAATGAGAAGGATCTGGATTATACTCGTAAAAACTGCATAAAACTGCACGAGACTACAGTCGACATCCTCATTGTTTCTCATTCTTTGTTCTCATTGTTGAAGAAGAATTTCTTACTTATGAATGCATATGCTCATTAACATCTGAATGGCTACTTGCTGTGTTTGTGCAATCTGACCTTCTAACGAAGGGTGGAAGTTCAAAATTTGATCTTAAATGGTTTTAGTAGAGTATTAATTTTCCTTTATTTGATTATTTTGATATACATTTTTTGTATATTATATTACTGACAATTTATATGAAAATTTTGAACAATAAAGATTGTCCACTTTCTATTTTTTGCTGAGTGTAGTATGGCAGCACCTCTTACATATAGGGCACAATATATCTGGATACATTTAACATTACCATTGCTCAGTTTTACTGTTACCTTCAGCCTGTGCTGCAGCTCAGTTCTTATAGACCAATAAATAAAATAAAATAATTGTGTCGTTCCACAATAAGTCTTGATCTGTGTTATCATTAACAATTGTGAATGATAAAGTGATCAATGATTGTTGTAGTACCTGATGCTAGTAAGAAGCACTAACTTTTAGAAGAAATTTATCAGCATTGAAATCAAATTTCAATTTCAGGGTGAGGAAATCTTTAAGGAGTTGATGGCAGCTGGTACAACACGGAACATTAGCATCCGTATAGTTGAGAACAAACCATCTCACTATATTGCAGACCTCGACACCAAGGAACTTGCAGCAAAAGGAGCTGCTCAGGTCCAGTCCCTTGACTTCAATAAACTAATGGGTGGAGGTATCCTACATACTAAGTTCTGGGTTGTGGATAAGAAGCATCTTTATCTTGGAAGTGCCAATATGGACTACAGAGCATTAACACAGGTAATGAGACCTACAGTATTCACAGGTTTAGTATTTAATTTATTTCTAAATAAAATTTCCTAGACAATAGTGATACCAATTAACCTCAACAAAAGAATTGGGAAACTCACATTTGATTAATGATATCTTTTATGTTAAATACTGAATTATTATCTTTATCGTTGCTCGTAATTAATTTTTTTAATCTCCTTTCATGCCGGTTTTCTATTTTTTATGTGTGATTATTATGGTATACTAACGTGGTGTATACCTCCATACAAGGATGCCTCAATTTTATCATCGATTTGGACACCTTTCTTACTTGAAAAATCCTTCATTTCCAATCGTGCCCATTACCGGTAATTACTACAGTCCCATTTGCCTAGTTTCATGTGATGTAAGTCTTGACCTTCTTTCACGTATAGCCATTGACACAGTCATCGCTACAATTAAAACTTCTAAAGGCTCATTAACAATATCAACCTTCCGATTAAACGTCTCAAAATATCTTGGACCTTTTTAGTATTATACCTTTTACAGCTGTTAATTCCTCTTCATCTACAATGGCGTCAAACATGCCAAGGACAAGATCGAGCTCAAATCTGCTACAGTAATTGCTGATACGATACATCTTACTTTGTATACCATCTTCTTGCAAAGTCCATTGCACAGGGAATTCTGGAAGAGACTTACAGTGTGTAGCGTATAACCAACCAATCGGACTGACTGCACTTCAATAAATAGCGACAATTTCAAGCATGATGCGATACCGTTCACAAAAGGCGTTTCAACCTGAAATTTAATCAGAATTAAACAATCATAAATAATATGTCAATTTTAAACTGTTTACAAACAATCTTGCATCAAATTAGTTGTATGATTAATGCATGTCTACTGAAGTTACATATTACACTGAATTCCTCTTTATATACATGTCTACAGTTACCAGAATTTATCTACATTCTGTCACTTTATACAACTGCCTATATATAAATGATATTAAAATAACACAACACGGTCTGTACAACAGACTATCTCCATAGCACTACACACATGAACCGTATTATGTAACTGCACGTGTAATGCATCATACAAAGTTACTGTGCGTACAAATCACTTTCATAACAAATTTTATACATCAAATTATCTGAAAACTATGAACTGTATAAACCAACACCCAACTCAAACTGACGGCTAGTTATCAATTATCAACATCATATGTTCAAATTATACTCACAACATTGGGCTTGTCTGGAAATACTAAATATTGATCGCAATCAGAAGGATGACTTTTCCCAAAATTGAGAATCATTTGCAGCTAAATTGTTACGCCCCCACTCGGCAGACCAAAAATTCAACCAAAAAAAAAACATCGCTTCTGACGTCATACTCCGATCGTCAACTGAAACAAAAAATGTCCTCACAAAACAGAGATTAGTATCTTACACAGTGTATAGCAAACTACAGGATCTTATCGAATGAAATGAGAGTAGATTTTAGGATATTGAGACCAATATGGAATAAAGGAGCACAATGTTGATGAGGTTTGAACAAAAGAGATATGAAATTCAAACTTGGTGATAGTCTGTATCACCCCAGGAATATGATCTGATCAGATTTTTGATAAATAGGTCAATGGTCAAAGAGCTCAATTTCTAACTTACAAGTTTTATCGTTATTATTGTGATTTCTTAAGAACAATGAGAGGTATTGGCCTGAAACTTCGTGATATATATTGCCATAGGAGACAGTCACAGAAGACAGACTTTAAAGTAAGTAGGTCAAAGATCACACAGGTCAATTTTCTGAAATGTAAGGTTTTTAGATCTACTGACGATCATGATGTGCCTCCATGGACAATACTTAAACACAAATGAAACTGTCACAATAGAAACTGCAGCTCACAGCACACATTCTGGCAAGTACAAGTACAAGCGAAATTTTGTTACGTTCTGGTTTCTGGTCCAGTGGTTCGGTTTTTCCTTTAAAGTTAGTCACAATGGTGAGACATTAAAGCAATTTTTAATTATTATTATTATTTTTTTTTTTTTCAGGTGAAGGAGATTGGTGTAGGGATCTTTAATTGTTCCTGCTTAGCGCAAGATCTGGATAAGCTCTTTGAAGTGTACTGGTATTTGGGGAACCAGACAACTGTACCACCAAAGTGGCCCGAAGAGTTTGCCACAGTATACAACTTGGAAACTCCAATGCAACTAAAGCTGAATGGGACTAATGCTACAGCCTTTATTGGGGTAAGTTATGAGCTTTAATGCCTCGGTCACACCTTTGCTTATTTGGCTTGCGTATTGCTACGTATTGAACTTTGAGCATGTTTATGTAAAGGCGCTGTATGAATATCATTACCGGTATGTATGTATTGCCCGAACGCAGACGTAGGCAGTCATACTCAATAAAGCGCAATGAAACGTGCTCACTACATACTCATTAATTATGCATACTAACACATAGGCCTGCATTGGTCGCTTGCTAGTTTTAAATTTTCTAAACTTTCGCAAACAAACACAAGATTAAATAGCCTACGAGCGGATACAAGTGGCAACCAGTGAATTCGAGCAACATCAAACGATAGCGAGTGGCTTAGCGCAATCAAACGCACCTCTTTTTTTGGAGCACATGTCACTGCCCTTTGCTCGTTTTCCTGCATGATTTACCTCACTTTAGGTCGTTGTCGTTCGCATGATTGCGCATATTGTTGCACTGTTGCTCACACACCCCTCGCAGCAGCAAGAACCGTTGCGATTGCCGCTGTGGGCTAACGCTGGGATTCACGCCCTTGGCCTTGGGACACAATAAGGGGAGAGGGGAGGGGATTCCTAGGGATATGATTTGGGATTCACGCCCCTGGCCTTGGGTCACCTTAAGGGGCGGGGGGAGGGGATTCCTAGGGATATGATTTGGGATTCACGCCCTGGCCTCTGGTCATCTTAAGGGGAGAGAAGAAGGGATAACTAGGGATTTAATTTGGGATTCACACCCCTGGCCTTGGGTCACCTTAACCCTTACTGTACTGGGCTATTTCGAGCACTCTCTGACTGGGGGGGGGGGGGGGGGCCTCGGAGGCCCCCCCTATGATCTCGGCCGTCGAATGTCCGATGAACGCGAAAATTTGCATGATTGTAGATATTTATGTAAGGAACAAGATGGTATAATTAGTTTTTTCCTAATATGCAAATTTTTGTCGTTATAGCCTAATTAATTATGCAAAATGCTAATTTTATGCATTTTACAGAAAACTCTACATATTTGTCCGTAGACTTGTGAAGAATCTTGAAAATGTATTGAATAAATGTTTCCTTCATCTCAAATTCATGAGGTTTCATTATTTTTATGATATTTGAAAATGCATAGGTTAATTTGCATAAATTATGAATACGCAAATTACGCATTCATGAATATCTAATCTGGTAATATACAGGGAACTAGAATCATTACAAAAATTGTCAGACTCCACTTTTGTTATGTTGAAACTCATTATTCATATGAAACTTCTTTATCTAACACAAAAAATAGTTATTTGATGTAATTAATAATGATAATTTATGCAAATTTGATGCGATTTTCAACTTTTTATTTTCTTATGTATTTCATTGTTTTTTATTTGTTATTATATCTATTGTTTTATTTCTAATGTATTCTTTTGTTCTGAAATACATCAAGTTACTTTGAGAAACATATAAAAGCAATTTGATATCAATTCATATCTTCACATTTCTGCTTGTACATGAATATATGCAATTATAGCACTTTTTTGATGACATGCGCATACTAATTGTTATGTAACACCTTACAGGTATATTCGATTTCGACGAAAATGGTATCAAAATGTGCGTAAGACTTGAAGGAAAAAAGTCATGAAACGACAATTCAAAATTCCGAGCGGTTGCGGCGCGATCTCCAAAAATGTCGAGGGGGGGGGGGCCTCCCAGGCCCCCCCCCAGTACAGTAAGGGTTAAGGGGCGGGGGGAGGGGATTCCTAGGGATATGATTTGGGATTCACGCCCTGGCCTCTGGTCAGCTTAAGGGGAGAGAGGAAGGGATAACTAGGGATTTAATTTGGGATTCACACCCCTGGCCTTGGGTCACCTTAAGGGGCGGGGGGAGGGGATTCCTAGGGATATAATTTGGGATTCACGCCCCTGGCCTTCGGTCACCTTAAGGGGCGGGGGGAGGCGATTCCTAGGGATATGATATGGGATTCACACCCCTGGCCTCTGGTTACCATAAGGGGAGAGGAGAGGGGATTCCTAGGGATATGATTTGGGATTCACACCCTTGTCCTGTAACTTGCTCTTGAAAATGCCATCTTCATACTTTAAATGAAAATCTGAAGTCGACTCTTTAAAGAATCAATAAAATTCTTTAAATATTGACCCCTGTAATACAAAAATCAATTCCTTTTGTCTCAGACTTTCACAGTGTCTTTATGTTATTGCAAACATCCCTGTCTAATTGTAGGCACCAATAGTCACGCATGAAATAAATAGCGTCTTCTCAAGTTCTGAAAGTGGCTTTGTGTGTTAATAACTCCTTCAGGTATTGGTAAACTCCATTCTACATAGCCATTAAAGGGATAGTTGAGTTCTGTTGCAGAGGGCACTACACAAAATAATTTTTTCATGAGATAATGAAGAACTGAGTGTTAAATTTGAAAGAACATAATATTGAAATGACAAAATCATCTTCGTTTGATCAAAATCGGTTCAGAGACGGCAGACAAATATAACAATTTCTAATAGATATTTTGAAATTTTTTAAAAAAAACGTTGAAAAAAATAAATAACGCCTTTTACGTCGTATTTCAGCCAATGTCGAAATTGGCTTTTTTTGTTGGCATTTTCGTGCTGCTTATTTTACGCACAACCAGCCGGCCCATGTATTGTTATTTGTAATTAAATAATTAATTAACGGTCACCATGTTTTTGTGGAGCTGAATTGGTATGATCGTATTGGCTAAATTTCACACATTTTTGGGTCTAATTTTACCTTCATAGCAATTTTAGGTTCTAAAAGGGCACTAGAAATGTCATAGATAAGAATAAGAGCAATAACCATGCACTTTGAAGGCATTTGCGGTCTGAAAACAGAACTCAACTATCCCTTTAATGGTATGTGATATTCAGGAAAAGAGGAGGAAGGGAGCCATATCCTTGCCTAAGTATCGGAAGGAAAAGGCATTGTAATATAGCCATTATCAGGTTTGACAGGCATGTGACTTCCAGAAGAGGTCATTTTGTTATCGTTTTCTGGGAGGTAGGCATCCATTGTTTTGCAGGAATGTAATTCCACAGGATTATTGACAATTCAATATGACCAATGCCATGGTAGTGCATGCATAGTGCATCTTTCTGGTATGACTACAATGCCTACCTCTCAGAAGACAACAACAGAATGACCTCTTCTGTGCAGTCACATGCCGTTCAAACCGGATGATGATTATTGATGTTGATGAGATTGATGTTGGTGTTGGTTGGAAAATAATTCCCACCATTTGTGTACCTCTTTTTTAATTTGTGATTTTCTCACAGTGAAGGCCATTTCCCTGATAAGCTTTAAATAGTGAAAGTCATTCCTTTACATAAGAATGGATCTCTAGATGACATTTCAAATTATCGTCCCATATCAGTTCTCATTTAATAAAGGAAATAAACGAACAGATCATATGCTTCTAACATTAAACAATATTTGCCATGAGGCCATAATCCCAATATTATTCTCTGACACAGATTTGATTTGAATACTGTATCAACAAAATCATATACTACCGTGTCTCAAAAAAATGCAACAAGATTTTGATTGGCAACATCTTAAACAGAAGTCATCCATTCTTCATACTTTGTAGGTAATGCTGTTCTATAGATCTCCTATAAAGGATCAAGATCATTTTTGTAAAACATAGCTTTTTTCAATGATACAAAAGCAGTCATAACTTAGCAGTTGTAGCATAAATCCTTGTCAATTCGCAAATTTTCAATGTGGCGGCAAAAACCTGGGGGGGGGGGGGGCAGGATTCCCAAAGTCAGATACCTAGGAATCCTCTCCCCTCTCCCGTTATGGCAACCCAAGGCCAGGGGTGTGAATCCCAAATCAGTTCTTCCTTTTTTTTTTTAAGTTTTAAAAAACATGTTGTATAAAAGATTGTATCTTTTTCTTATTTCATTCAACATTTTACATAACAGTCAATATGGCTTCAGTAGAGGGTAAATGCTCTTCTTGATTTTATTTGTTAAGTCTCTGATGCTATTGATTCCAAACAATACATGATTGGATTTCGTGATTTAAGCATGCATTTGATACTTTAGATCATGTTTTGGTATATAGTGTTATTGTTATGTCTCCACCCACTGGAAGCATTATTTCATTTGCTGTTGATGCCAGTTTGTTCATGTCCCGCAGCATTATTGTTTCTATAAAAAATATGTTCAAAATGAATTAGTAAATCTCTACGATTGATTGTTTAATATAACCAAATAGTTCTAAATCCGAAAAAGACACAATTCATGATATTTACCAAGAAATAAATTGCTAAAGAGAGTGTAGTAATTAATTACAATACCAATATCCAATGTGTCTCATCTTTGAAATTCTTAGGAGTATATATTGGTGATAGACTATCATGGCATTAACACATTGGTGTCACTTTTAATCGTACAGCAACTTTTGTCATAAATTACAGATTTATGTTTTTGTGTTCTAAATATGTTATAACCTAGTAACTCATGCCTTTTTTTTTTCTTAATTTGACAATACATCAACACAATGCACGTAATGAATCTAATTACCGGTATCATTTACCTCAAGTCAGAACTTTGATTTCCCATAACTCACTATTTTTAAAGGTCCTGCTCGATGGAACAATCTCGCTCCTGCGCTAAAAATGAGCCCATTATTTAATTCTTCGAAACACAGTTATAAGTCCCATCTTTTAAGTTTGTATTCATAATTTGCATTTTGTTTCCTTCATTTATTTGTTTTTCTGTTTGTTTGTTATAATTGGGGTCAATGTACTAGCTATAAGGTTATTTGCTCTTTTTTGTTGACCCCTCATTCTCATGTGTTTTTGTCTAATTTCTCTGTATTGATTTCTATTGATCAATGCTCCGTTGCTTATATATTTATTTTTTAATTTTTTATTGAGAGTGAAAACAAAGACTGAACTATACTGAACTGAATATTCAATGGGAATATCAGGATCTTCATTTTTGGTTAAAAAATCGCCTCTTTTAAAGGTAATACAGAGTTTTGGGATGGGGTCGTGAATTTGCTTCAAATGAACATATTGGAAGCATATGCGATCCTACAATATTCAGGGATCGTTGTTGCGGTTGAAATCGAGTCTAAAGTGATGAAATTTTAAATAATAAACTCTTCAAGATATTAATTGAGCTATAAAACAATGTTTCTTGACTAAAATCGACCGATTAGCTATTCCCGTTTGGAAATTATATATCACAACTACATATTCTGAGATGTTCATGGTCACAGCTACCATTGTACGGCCGTAGGCGCTATTTGAAATTTATCAAAATTTACCGGGAGCACCTGTAAATTTTTATATTCAATTTTTCTCAAAAGGAGAAGTGTTTTGGGGGCTAATTTTTTTTGTGCTTATAATACATCTACAGGGGCATCCAAATATATCAAAATTGTGAAGAATCACTTTCCACCATATTTTCAAATTTCCCAAAACTTTGTATTACCTTTAACAAAAATCAGTGATTTATATTACCGATACTTCCATAGTCTTCTGAGTTACCGTAAATACATTAAATATGTGATGACCTTCAATGGTTGGGTTAAAGTCAGACCATTTGGTGACTCACCAAAAGGAAGGAAACAATAGATTAGAACTAGGTCCAGGTCTCCATAACTAAACAAACCTTAGTTCTTATCATCTCGACCCTGGTAAGGACCAAGGTTGTTCATCTCTGTTACATTGATATGATTTTAGGTTTTGCCTATTACCTTTAATCTTTTTTAACACATCTTTGAAGAAAACAAAATCTTATAAGATAGTCGAGGGTGTATTAGTCATAATTTTTCTGCTAACATATTTGTGTGTAGTACTAATGTTACAATCTCTGTTTCACATTAATTGATTTCAATACATCGCTCGTAATCCATGTTCTTTGGTAATTCTTCTTATCCTGAATTCAACTTCTGTAAATTCATCCTGACCAGAAAGTAGTAACCACTTTTGTTCACACCCTTTACAGAGTTCACCACCAGCTTTCTGTCCATCGGGACGTACTTCAGACATTGATGGCCTCCTCAATGTTGTAGAGTCTGCCCAGAAATTTGTGTACATAGCTGTAATGGACTACATTCCAGAAAAAGAATTTGCAAACCCTATGGAGTAAGTTTTATGTCTACAAAGTCTATGAAATGTCTTCATTTTAATACATACAAATACTTCTCACTTCTGCTTCTGTAAAAGGACTATTCTTGAAGCAAAATAATACACATCAACCCTAAAAAATCTAAAATCTGTTAAATTAGATGTCAACATCTATTTTTACCTTATATTTGAAGAAAGAAAAGAAAAAATTCACACTCATGCATACAGTGTATATAAAAATATGCATAATCATTAAATATGAAATGCTTTTAAAGGAAGAGAAAAGGTTGTGTCAATTTGATACTTTTAATACTTGTTTGTATTGTTGTTCTAACTTGCAGATACTGGAATGTGATTGATGCCAAGCTGCGGGAGGTAGCATTTAATCATCATGTCAATGTACGTGTCATGGGAAGCATATGGAACCATACATCATCTGATATGATAGTCTTCCTTAGGTCATTGGCAGAACTGGGTACAACAGGCAGATTCAACATACAAGCGGTAAGTTATGGTTCCCTTCTAATATTGGAATTTTCATCTTTTAGGATTCTACTTCACAAATGATTTAAATGTTAGTGGTTGTTGACATCTTCACTACCTTTCTGAACACACAAAGATAAATTCAAGTCATGTTGCTGTTCATATTGTGTGAGATATTGAGCAATAAGTTGTGCATTAAATTTTATACATATCTCACCTCAAGATAAACTAAAAAATAAGACTAATTTTGAAAATTAACAAAATGGTGCTTTGATGACATGACAATGAAATGATGACTGCTAATTTTGAGTTACTATTGCCAACAACAAAAAAGGGAAAGAAATAAATAAAATCATAGAAAAAAGACAATTCTAACATTATAATTACGGTAGTTGGTCTGTCGATGCTGACAGGCGTATCTGATATTGGAAATAGCAGGTTCTTGAAAAGTGTTCATGTCTGTCACACTTGGCACTTCTGACTCCTGGCACTCCAGTAATACTACTCATACTACTAAACATTTTTGCTTTTTAATGAGGGAAAATCATAGCTGAGAAGGTAAAAATTGTATATGGGGTAAAAAGTATGTAACAGGGAAACAAATGGAAGTCATTTATTTAAAAGTACTAAAATATAGCTGTTGAAAAATCTATTTTGACCATGCAAAACCTTCACCCCAAAAGAGCACCAACTTTATTTATGCAAGTTGCATTCTGACAATTGTAGTACAAAGGATAATAGTATTTGAATGAAATAGTTCATCACCACATACACCTGGCAAAGATGCATCCATACATTTGAATAAGAATATACTTCTTAATTTTTGAAGAATCTTGCAGGGCCAGATTCATCATATTTTCACAAAACATGAATTTTGGAACAATATTACAAAGTTGGGGGTCAATGGATTTTGCGTAAAAATGAAATTTGTAAAATCTTGCCAGAATTCATTAGTTTGGATGAGAAATAATAGATATTGCCCTTATTAGTACCAAAATATGAAATATGAGATGTTTGAAGAATCTTGCAGGGCCAAGGTCACTTTTTCCACAAAATTTTGCCACACTTCACATTTTCAGATGGAAAATTATAGAAATTTAATGTATTTAGCGCTTAAAGGGTGATGGTTTTCTGGTTGGGTTCTATCTCTTACCTGTGAGAAATATATATTTTTATCCTTTGCTCCTACATGTAGGAGAAATGTAAGCTTAAGATAATACAAAGTTTTGGGAAATTTTGAAATTGGGTGGATAGTGATTCTTTACAATTTTGATATATTTGGATGCCCCTGTGGAATTATTATGAGCACTAGAAAATTTAGCCCCTCAAACAATTCTGCTTTCGAGAAAAATTGAATATAAAAATTTACCTGTGCTCCCGGTAAATTTTGATTAATTTTTAAATAGCGCCTACGGCCGTATAATGGTAGCTGCGAACATGAAAATCTGAAACTATGTAGTTGTGATATATAATTTCTAAACGGGAATAGGTAATCGGTCGATTTTAGTCAAGAAACATTGTTTTATAGCTTAATTAATATCTTGACCTTGAGAGGGAGCTATACATCATAAAGAGTTAATTATTTACAATTCCATAACTTTAGACTCGATTTCAACCGCAACAAATATCACTGAATATTGTAGGATCGCTTATGCTTCCAACATGTTCATTTGAACCAAATTCATAACCCCATACCAAAACTTTGTATTATATGAGTTAAAATCTATTGTGATGTTTGTAGGCCTATCCTCTCTCTTTCACATTTTGCTCAATGTATGTTTTATATGTATATATATATATATATATATATATACAGGCTAAGAGAGGTCTTCGATTATCTTTTTTGAATAGATTCTAAGCATATACTAAAGTTCATTTGATGATAAAAATCACATTAACAAGAATGATGAGGAATAATCAAATTTTTTGTAGCTTACCTTGCAGTTTATTACAATTTTCCAATGCAGTAATAACTTATTCTCATTCATTCATTCAAATGTTTATATGAAATATAAATATATTCCCATTCATTCATTCAAGTTTTTATATGAAATATTAACCATTTAAAAATTATCTTTACTTTGCATTTATGAGGATCGTACAATTTTTTTCTTACTTAATTTTTTTTTTAAATTTCATGATCCAGAAACTTTTCTGTGTGCCAGCATACACACCTGTAGAGCACGAAATGCCATACGCTAGAGTCAATCACAACAAATACATGGTCACAGATAATGCAGCATATATTGGTAAGATCACTACTGTGTTATCCATTCCTAATCTAGTTTCCTTGTGTGTCTATGGTATTTAAAGGGAATACAGTGTTCAGAATGTAAAGGGTAAATGATAGTTTTATTTTGAATGCAAGAATATATTGTTCATGCTGAATAATTTATATCATCAATACGGTGATAAAACCTCATAACTAAACAGATTTTAATTTTCAAAGCATAAACAACTTTCTTGTATAGAAGTTGTGATATTACTTTAAATTAGTTTTTATTTATTAACAGCTTCCATAGCCTTGTGTGATAATCTACTGTTAGTGACTAGTGAAATTGATTGTAGCTGCTTATGTTTTTCCTTCAATTTGTGCTTAGTCGATCATAAGGGGGCAGAGAAACTTATTTCTTTTGTTGTATTTATGTTGCTGGCGCATACGCTAGGATGCTTAAGGCGCCTACAAAAAACAAAGTTGGCCTTACTAAAATTTCCCTGGCCTGCCCTAAGTTAAATTCCCATATGTATTCTCCGCCCCACTCTTGGACAATCATCCCAAACTCGTCATACCTCCCCACATTAAAAGTAACATTAACAGTAATTATAACAGTTATAGTAACTCGTTATTGTTAACAGGTTTTCTGAAACGATGCCCTGATTAGTTTTTTAGGTCAGTAGGTTAAAGGTGATAGATCCCAATTCTTAAATTCGGCCCACAGGTTTTAGACTTGTTATTGCAATTTCTGAAGCAATTGGGGTATGAACTTTAAACTTGGTAATAGTCAGAATCACATTACCGGTAGGCGCATTTTCTGGAACTTCCTGGAGTAATATGACGTAAAATTGTTTTTTCCTACCCCCTCCAAGAGTAGGGATCTTTTGCAATTTGAGAACCACATTTGGTGTATTAATGTCCACCGGCACTTCCTGGAAAAAAAAGAGGCCTTCTGATTTGTTACAAGTTAATTAGAGAGCGAGACGTTGTATATGCTTCGTTGTTGCAAAATGCACAAAGACAGTGGTCTGTTACTTCACCGGTAGTACTTGCACAAATTATCTCGGTGTTGTTATCAGGAGCGTCGCTAGACCTATTTCAGGGGAGGGGGGGATGTAGAGGCCACCAATTACCAACAAATATATTAATGCCAATGTCCCAATGTTTACAAATTTAACCCTAAGCCCTGGGCCAGGAACTAAGTTATTTTAAAGTTTTTTTCCTCCCACGCGAAGCGCAGAAGCTTTGACGTTTCATTAATTTATTAGAGAAAGAAGACGATTTGTTGTACCGGTACTGTTTTCGTTTCTTAATTCTTGTTTGAATTCAGTCCCCCCCCCTCACGCACGAAAGCTTTGATGTTTCATTAAATTATTACTCTTAATCCTTGTCTGAATTCATTATCGCCCATCCCGTAGCTTTCACGTTTTATTAAATCATAAGAGAAAGAAGACAATATGTTGTATCATGTCCTTGTCTGGAATCAGTTCCCCCCTCCCGCGCAAAGCGCGGAAGTTCTCACGTTTCATTAAATTATTAGAGAAAGAAGACAATTCGTTGTATCGTTCTCGACTCTTGATCCTTGTTTGAATTCAGTTTTCCCCCTCCCACGAAAAGCGTAAAGCTTTGACGTTTCAATAAATCTTTAGAGAGAAAGAAAACGATTTGTTGGACCATTGTCTACTCTTAATCATTGTCTGAATTCAGTTCCCCCCGCCCCCTCCTGCGCGAAGCACGTAGGCTTGGACATTTCATTAAATTATTAGAGAAAGAAGACGATTCGTTGTACCGTTCCCGACTCGCACCCCCACGACGCCCTTTAGCGATGACTCTGGTTGTTATCCCTTTATTCTTTTAAAAGAAATGCAATTCCTCCTGCTCTCGCACCTCTCTTCTATCATTGTTTAATTCTCTTATTTTGTCTTTTTCATTTTTTTTCTTTACTCCTTTTTTCCATCTCTATTTTGGGGGTTCTTGTGTTTTTTTTAGGGGGGGGGGGGGGTGGGTGGCTACACGCCTGGCAAGAGGGACCCCATATTATGCACACTGCAAAATTGCCTGCCATCCCGCCCCTTTCCCGGTAAAAAAAACACCTACTTATAATATCATCCCCCGTTCTTTTTTTTCTCTCCTCTGTCTTTCCCCCTTTTCTCTCCTCTCTCTTTCCCCTTTCTTCCTTTTCTACCTTTTCTCTCCTCCCTCTTCTCTTTCTTCCTTTCCTCCTCCTTTTTTTCCTCTCCCCTTTTCTCTTCTTCCTCTTTTCTTTCTCTTTCACTCCCCGTTTCTTTTGTTTCCTTTTTCTTTTTTTCTCTTTTTCTTTCTTTCCTCTCCTTCCTCTTTATCTTTTTTCTCTTTCTTTCTTCTCTTCACTTTCCTTTCTTCACTTTCTTTTCCTTTTCTTTTTTCTTTTCTTTCCCGTTCCCTCTCATTTCCTCCCCCACCCTTTCCTCATTTTTCCCGACAGCAGCGCAAAAGACCAGTTCATGGTTAGCACATTACTGCAATGACCCCGAATATCTACAGATCTTCAAAACATGAAGAAGTCCCACTTTGTACATTTTGAAATAATCAATCCTACAGCGATGGAGGTGCTATATAAATAGCCTTTGTTTCCCCTTTTCAAAGAATACTTCCACCTGTGTATCATGGAGTGCACTGACTGTGCATGAATGAGTAATGATTACATAACTTTCATGAGCACATATCCAGTATTTTGTCTCCGTGTATTTCAATATTTGTTCTGCAATGACCTTCATCTGCTCATGCTCAGACTGCAACCAGGGACTGGCTTATTCTTCTGCCAATATCCAGACAGGGGGGGGGGGGGGGGGGGTGACGCAACCCACGACCCCTTTTAGCGATGACCCTGGTTGTTATCCCATTATTCTTTTAAAAGAAATGCAATTCCTCCTGCTCTCGCACCTCTCTTCTATCGTTGTTTAATTCTCTTCCATTTCATTTTTCATTTTTCTCTTTACCCCTACTTATAATATCATCCCCCTTTCTTTCTTTTCCCTTCTCATTATTTTCCTTTTCCCCCTTTTTCTCTATTCTGTCTTTCCCCCTTTCTTCCTTTTCTGACTTTTCTCTTCTCTCTCTTCTCTTTCTTCCTTTTCTCCTCCTTTTTCTCCTCTCTCCTTTTCTCTCCTCACTCTTCTTTCCTCCCTCTTTTCTTCTTCTTTCTCTCTTCCCTTTTTTCTTCTTTTTTCCTTCCTTTTTCTTTCTAACTACTTTTTCTCTTTTTCTCCCTATTCCTTCCCCCCCCCCCTTTTCTGTTTTTACCGAAGGGGCACGTGCCCTCCCTGAATCCGCCACTGACCCCCAAAGACAATTACCAAACGACAAGATTTCCTAGGGGGTATTTGTCCAGTGGGTGATTACCCTAGAGGATGATTGTTCTCGCTTGGGGGGTAATTGTCCCGCTATTAGATGGGTTAGGGCTCATAAAAATACAATTTTTTATGCTGTTTGCTATTTTTCGGCTCCATTTAACCAAATGTAGAGTCATTACCAGGCTGAAGTACAATGTATCCTGAAAATGTTATTATTCAATCAATGATTGACTGACTGAATGTAGTCTAAGGCATATAGGAGATGCAGTCACATACATCTTGTTAATCACTTTTGCTTGGTTTATTTGTTCTTCACCCTCATCGTTGTTTCATTTCCATTAATCTCTTACTTCAGGTTCTTTTTGTAACATGAAAACTGTTCTCTTATTTGTGTACAGGTACATCCAACTGGTCAGGCACTTACTTCACCTTGACTGGTGGTGCAAGCCTAGTGGTCAATCAGACGTTGGCCCAAATGGAGACCAATGCTACCACCCTACAACACCAACTTGCCCAACTTTTTGAACGTGACTGGAATTCCATACATGCAACACCTGTCCTCAGTAATGTGAAATGCATGTAAAACATTATGTGATGTTTAAGCGTACCAGGAGTTACATGTAGATCAGGTTTTTACACTAAAATAGCATCTGTTTTTGGTTACTATTTTAACTGCGAATATTGAAGAAAAAAATGTGTAAATTGTAAACTTAAGAAATATATTTTACTAATAAAGAGAAGCACAGCTTCAAAAATCGTTGCACTGCCAAAATTAACTCTTTCCAATATGTATTTTACACAATGCAAAATTGTCAATTTCAGATAGGTGAATAGTTAATTAGCAATAAATAAAAAAGCATTTCAGATATCGATATGAAATTTCAGAGGCTTATTCTTTATTAGATACTCAATTTGTATGTCAAGTTTCAGAATTTTATATTACTGTATGGCTGAGATCCTTGGCAAACTTGGTGCTTGGCGCTCAACAGAGAGTGCACAAAGTAAACCAGCATTTTTAGGGTTAAAAAACCTTGCGATTTAAAACTGTGATTATCTCCACAAGTTCTACCCTGAAGTCCATCTTGGACACAAGTTGGCAGCTAAAGATTATCAAGATCAACTGAGTTTTGCATGTTCTGGCCGGATTGATTGTCTGTTCATCTACATGTCCAGTGTACATCTATCTTGCTCTTTCTATATTGTGATATCTCAAGAACCATTTGAGGCATGCAATTCAAACTGGGTGCTTATTGGGTAGTTGTAGACTACAACTGAAAACAAAAACTGTAAGATTTCGGGTAAGAAGGTTAAAGGTCATAGAGATAAATTTTCTTGGTGTTTTCAGCCTTGTTATTGCAATATATGGACATATCACTAAATATAGACATATAATGTAGAAGTTTCATTCTGTACATCACCAGTCAGGGAACCACATGAGTCCTGCAGTGGCACTAATGGCCTTTAGCAAGACATTAATCTACAATTGTCACCCTCCATGCACAAAAGTGTAGTAAATGAGGACCTGGTAGGATTTTTATTCTTTTAATACTTTTAGCACCTTTAGCACATTGAGGCAGCTGGGCTAAAGTGAGGATAATTATTCTACTTCTTAGGTGCTTTGAGCATCCTGAGGGTGGATATGTGTGCAATATAAATGTAACTATTAACATTAGTTTTATAATGGGGATAAACTGATTAGATTTTGGGATTATTTGGTCAATGGTCACAGGACAATTTATGTTGAATGGAATTGATGGTATAATGAAGGGCCCCCAAGTGAACTAGACCCAGAGTTTGGTTGCTAACAGACAGATCTTCCTCTATCATGTGTTAGATAGGAGCCCTGTAAAATCTGCATTCAATCTAAATTGTGATTTTGATTCTGAAAATTACTTGGTATGCTTGGAAGAAAAGCCCAGTTCCCGAGACTTGGATCTCTTGGTTGAAAAAATGTAATAAACTCATGGTGATGAAGAACAAAGAAGAAACACATGATAAATAAATAAAGGCCTACAGCAGATATTAAAGAATACATAGGTAGCAGTGGGTGGTGTACAGTGAATTGTATGTAGTATCCATCCAGATGGTGAAAGTTTACTGATCAAGCTAACTGTATTGACATGATAAATTCAAAATTAGAAAACAGTATTTGAAATGAAATTTTGCATAGGAATTAATATGTGATTAAGAAGTAGACTACTGCCCATATGAAAAGGATGATGTAGTGACAGCTGGTACAAAATGGACCCAACTATCCACACTTATTTTTTTAACATGGAGAAATATAACTTTGTGCACAAAAGAGCTTTATAACAATTACTGCCAAAGTGACAGATGTTCTTCATTAATTCCTTTTCTATGTCATCTTGGGAAAGAATACTTCACCCTTTGTATTATAGAATCTCGGCCGGATGGCCGATTTGCAGATTCTTTTACAATCTAATAATAGATACATCAATTAAATGATAATAATAGTAAAAATGCTGTATTTTTGACAAATGACATAATCCAGGTCATCCAATGAAGGTTTATCATGGTATGTATAATGATATAGCATGTATTCAGTCATCCAAAGCTCAAACTTCCAAGAATATTACAGTGTATGTTAACGAAAAAAGAAGAAAAAAAGAAAAAGAAATCTGATTGACCGACCCATGTTCTGGCACCTGAAGGGCAATACAACATCTTTTTTTTAAGGCCTAATAAACAATAAATACATGTTCAGATACATACTATTTGTTCAAATGTCCATGTTATAATACATATATAGATATTTTGTTCTTTCCCCAGTTTACTACAAAAAGCATATATGAAACACAGATACCTATATTATTATGATTATATATAATCCAAGAGTACTATTATAATGAAATATATTTGCAATGCCCTATAATTTATGTTTTCTGCGCAGATGTGCGAAAGATAAGAAAAATATATATGTATTTTTGGTAAGTAGAACCAAGTCTTGTTTAAATATCAAATGTTTATTTTATTTTGTCTGTTTTCTAATATACTATGGACCTCAACATGTTTAGCAGGCTTAGAAGGCAGGCTCCATGGGTGTTCATATTAATTTTAATGGTATTTTTTTTATTGTACTTGACATACGGGGAAATAATGTCCAAGTCGAAAGTTCCATTCTTTTTGTATTCTAAATTGTAATGTCTATTAAAAAAAATGTTACTATATTATATCGAGTCAAATTTGAAATATTTTGTGGATCTTAACATGTCTAAGTTGGCCTGCAAGGCACTCATAGGATCAATTTAATAGGGATTGCCCAGGTTCAAGTTGAAACGTTGAGTTGGAGGATCTGAAGTATATGATCATTCTTTTCATGCATGTATTCTGAGCTGAAACTCCCAATGAACGGTTATTCGTAATGGGTCGTAATCATGGCCTAAATATCGGATATAATAAATAGTGTGGTGAACACTGACATCAGCCTCAGTAGTTTCTATGTCTGTTTGTGGTTTCCCTTGTAAGATTAAAAATTGAAAAGTTGATGAAAAAAATGAGTCAATATGATCCCGGCCCCCCACTCAGTGTTATTTAGGGTACGCGTATGCTCGTTCCCTCTTTTTGAAAGCACCCCCTATCTGAGGACTGCCAACATTTCCGAACCCCCCTTTCGCGGGCTTTTCTCAGGCTTTTCCTGCCTTGGAGACCCCCCTAAATACGGAAAAATGCTCAATGTACCCCCCCCCAAAAAAAAAAATTCGGAATAATTTCTCAGGAGTCCAAAGAGATGAGAGAAAAAAAGAAAAACAACCCGTTTTTAAAGTAATCTCCGGGTGGAAAGTCAAATACACCCCCTTTTTTTTTACAATTCTCGGGCCGGACTTTGTCGCACGAAAAGTACCCCTTTACCGGACATTTTGGTAACACGCATGCGGTCATTCCGACCCCGGAGTGGGGGGGGGGGGGGGGGGGGTGGGTGCTAAATACAATAAAGGGAACATTGTGATGAATATGCCCGAATGCGATTTAGGGTGATATTTATACGCCAAAAAAGTTTACACAGCTCCATGACCTAACGAAGAACATGCCGATTATCCTCGATCTGAAAAAGTTATAAAATCGGGGCATTTGAACTCTTTATAAGACGGGACCCTGCTCAATGTAGCTGAAAAATAATCATTTTATTTGGTTACAGTTACAAATTTAAATAAATATTTTTTAATCAACTTCTGTTTTATATATCAAAATAAACATACGTTAAAAGCGGGTAGTTTTGCTTGCGTTCTTTTAGTTAGAGGGAGGTTATTAAATAATTGAATAATATTGCGCCACGTAAAATTTCATCAAACTGATCGATACCTTCATTGTTCTTTCACATCTACACACACTACCACCCATCTATCTGACTTATCGATCTCTGCTCTAGCATGTCCCTGGTTCTACACACACTCTCCAGTCTCTTCATTCAATTATCATTAGAACATAAAGGAATGGCGGTCACTCCAGACAAATAATTGAAACAAATGAAAACAAGATATGCAAATGTATTATACAATTTAATATGTACCATTGAATACAAATAAATACGACTGTACAAATCTATCACTATTACGAAGATAAATTTATCTTCATTATTTAGCTGTTAAATGAAGATAAATTTATCTTCATTTAACAGCTAAATGTGGATAAATTTATCTTCATTTAACAGCTAAATGAGGATAAATGTATCTTCATTTAACAGCTAAATGAGGATTATAGGGTTAGGGTTAGGTTTGAGATGGTGAATAGATAGAACATCCCCGTGCGACCGGCTTAACGACGGTCTGGGGAGAATATGGGTGTATCATCTCCCTGGTGTATCTGTACATGTGGATGTGGTAATTATGGGTGTATCATAATCGTAAATGCAGACCTTTTAACAATCAGGGTAGTTACTTAATTTGCAAAAATTCACCTTTCAGAAAGAAAACGTGCATTTTTGCTAATAATAGAAGACAAGACACAGGGTGGGGGCTGCAGTGGGCTAAATAGGCCTATATAAAGTATAATGTTAAATAATATCAGGGAACCAGCTGTACGTGTGCTCGGCCGCAAAATATATGAGCAATATTATCTTTAAAAATGCAATTACATGTATTTCACTTTGACTCTTAAGAGCATAAATCGGGGGGAAAGTTGAAAACAAACGATATTAATTTTATGTGCTTGAAAACTTGACTTTTCTGACTTTCGCTGAATATCCGTAAAATTTGTAAACTTGGCAGAGTTCAAATGGGCCTAATTTGGACAGCATACGGTCTGGATATGTAATTTCTTTCTTGTTTAAAATCTTATTCGATGTTTTGTGGAGTTCATCGGCATGAAAAACTTTCTTAATTAGTTACAAACCCAAGCATGATATGATTGATACCCCATAGGAAGTGCAACTAAATCGTTCGGACAACCATGCCTATATTTAATAGAAATTATAAACCAACTGCAACTATGTACGAACATGTAAAGACATGGCACCTAAACAAAGATAGGTGCCTTAGGGTTAGGGTTAGGGGTTAGGGTTAGGGGTTAGGGTTAGGGTTAGGGTTAGGGTTAGGGTTAGGGTTAGGGTTAGGGTTAGGGTTAGGGTTAGGGTTAGGGTTAGGGTTAGGGTTAGGGTTAGGGTTAGGGTTAGGGTTAGGGTTAGGGTTAGGGTTAGAGGGTTAGGGTTAGGGTTAGGGTTAGGGTTAGGGTTAGGGTTAGGGTTAGGGTTAGGGTTAGGGTTAGGGTTAGGGTTAGGGTTAGGGTTAGGGTTAGGGTTAGGGTTAGGGTTAGGGTTAGGGTTAGGGTTAGGGTTAGGGTTTGGGGGGGGGGGGTTAGGGTTAGGGTTAGGGTTAGGGTTAGGGTTAGGGTTAGGGTTAGGGTTAGGGTTAGGGTTAGGGTTAGGGTTAGGGTTAGGGTTAGGGTTAGGGTTAGGGTTAGGGTTAGGGTTAGGGTTAGGGTTAGGGTTAGGGTTAGGGTTAGGGTTAGGGTTAGGGTTAGGGTTAGGGTTAGGGTTAGGGTTAGGGTTAGCCGTTAGGGTTAGGGTTAGGGTTAGGGTTAGGGTTAGGGTTAGGGTTAGGGTTAGGGTTAGGGTTAGGGTTAGGGTTAGGGTTAGGGTTAGGGTTAGGGTTAGGGTTAGGGTTAGGGTTAGGGTTAGGGTTAGGGTTAGGGTTAGGGTTAGGGTTAGGGTTAGGGTTAGGGTTAGGGTTAGGGTTAGGGTTAGGGTTAGGGTTAGGGTTAGGGTTAGGGTTAGGGTTAGGGTTAGGGTTAGGGTTAGGGTTAGGGTTAGGGTTAGGGTTAGGGTTAGGGTTAGGGTTAGGGTTAGGGTTAGGGTTAGGGTTAGGGTTAGGGTTAGGGTTAGGGTTAGGGTTAGGGTTAGGGTTAGGGTTAGGGTTAGGGTTAGGGTTAGGGTTAGGGTTAGGGTTAGGGTTAGGGTTATTTTTGTACTACCTCTTGGCGCCCGAGAAAATACATGGCTTCTAAAAATATACAATTGGCGTCTGAGTATCTACAGTGGCATCTGAAAACCTACAATTGGCGTCTGAGTTTCTACAATGGCGTCTGAAAAGCCACAGATGGCGTCCTATTATCTACAGCTCGGCGCCCGTAAAGCTACATGCTACCCTAAAACTTACATGTTGGCTTCTTTTCATTTTACTCCTCTTAAAAGTAGATTTCCTTCAAAGTTATGGGCTGCCCATTGGTTTTTACAGGTAAGAAACGATATTTAACTTCCATTTTACCATTTACTTACGTTACGTTTGAAAATAATTAGTTTTTAGTGAAATATGACGGTTTTTAGTGTCCAATGTTTTTTTTGGGTAAAATTTACCGAAACTTGTCTGATTTAGGACCTTTTTCTTTCACTTTAATCCCTTTTATCTTAGAATTGCAATCGTTTTGTTCTTCATGAATGAAAGATATCAATTCCTTATAGATTCATCAATCTATAAGTGTTTGCATATTCGATTTTGTATTTTGAATAACAAAATATCAGCATTTTTGTCGATTTACTACGAAAACCGATTCAAAAAAATTCAGGGTGCTGTTGCCGATCTGTGCCATCACCGTTAAATAGCTTTGTTCCTGACCACCACTGACAGGGCATTTGACCGAGGCACTTTTCCGCCTGAAGTACTGGCCTGGTATTCGGCTGTTTTCTGGTATACAATGACGTGCAATGACATGGTAAGCAATTTAGATTGACCCCACTTATTTTCTTATTTCATACTTTTTATCCAAAAAGAGCCACTTCAATATGTTGAGTACAAATGAAAGTTTTTGTTTATGGTATCCATCCACTTGGCAAAGATGAAATTGATTGAAAAATCTCATTTGTTTTGAGTGGAAAACCTATGGCAATTTGCTCCACAACTCCTGGCCTAGCATTCGGCTGTTATCTGGTGAAGAAAAGTGATGCATTTGGTATGATACAAAATTTAGATTGACCCCATTTATTTTCTTACGTTTTGTTTTTTATCGACAAAAAGCCCCTGCGATATGTTAAGTACACTTGAATATCATTGTTTACGTTGTCCATCCACGTAGCAAACATTAAATTGCTTGACAAATCTCATTTGACCGAGGCACTTTTCCGCCTGAAGTACTGGCCTGGTATTCGGCTGTTTTCTGGTATGCAATGACGTGCAATGACATGGTAAGCAATTTAGATTGACCCCACTTATTTTCTTATTTCATACTTTTTATCCAAAAAGAGCCACTTCAATATGTTGAGTACAAATGAAAGTTTTTGTTTACGGTATCCATCCACTTGGCAAAGATGAAATTGATTGAAAAATCTCATTTGTTTTGAGTGGAAAACCTATGGCAATTTGCTCCACAACTCCTGGCCTAGCATTCGGCTGTTATCTTGTGAAGAAAAGTGATGCATTTGGTATGATACAAAATTTAGATTGACCCCATTTATTTTCTTACGTTTTGTTTTTTATCGACAAAAAGCCCCTGCGATATGTTAAGTACACTTGAATATCATTGTTTACGGTGTCCATCCACGTAGCAAACATTAAATTGCTTGACTAATCTCATTTGTTTCAAGCTGAACACCCTTCATTAGGTGTTCAACTTGAAACAAATGATACTTTTCAATGTGTGGTGCATTTGGTATGATACAAAATTTAGATTGACCCATTTATTTTTGACAGTTATGTTTTTTCGACAAAAAGGCCCTGCGATATGCTTTGTTTCCAGCAGAAAAACTTGAAAGGGCGATCTCCCTTGCCAAGTATTTAGCCGTTTCAATTGGATGATTACGCAAAACCGTCATTAACTCCAACTTCGTGGACGTCCTATTGAAATGTATGATACAGAATTAACATTTGTTTCTCAAGGATGTCTACAAACTAAACTTAGTGATGGTTTTGAGTAATGGCCCCTCGTTGTTAAAGTTCTGCCTTCCGGTGCACTTGATAAGATACACAATTTAGTTTGACGCCATTTTTTGTTCTAATTTTATGGGTTTTTTTTAACGACTTTAATATACTAGCCACTGCGATATGTTAATTCTATAGAAAATCTTAGTATAAGGTGTCCATCAACTACATCGACCTCAACATGTGCTCCATCAATTACACTTGCTAATATTTCAATTATAATTAATTGCTTCATTTGTTTATACATTTCTTATAGGGTTATATATGAGCGACGTGTAGGTTGATGTCGAACAATGGGCAGAGGTAATACATACACGAAACTGGACACATGGGACCGATGTATATTTAGGAACAAGGAATGACGACTTATTATCGCACATGTGTAAATATAATTAAAGAGTATTAAGAAGTGATCGTATCCATACTAATTTAAGGGGAGTCTATCCTTATTGTAAGGATAAGAGGACGTTTTGTGGGCAAATACGAAGATTTCAAAATGTAAAATGTCGCCATTTTGTACGGACAGAGGGTCCGAGCTTACGAACGATGCGAGCAACTTCCACTCCAAAAGTTAATCGACATCGGTATGTATTTAGCTGGCTGCTGACCCATCTAAAAGTCCTCAAGTTACTATTTTACCATATTTTTAAAGCTTAATAAATTTCCTTTCATAATTTTTAGCTACTTTTGGGGCCTTCGGAAAAAATTGTGGAATTTAAGACGAAAATCAAAACTTCAAATTTTCAAAAAAAAGTCATCGTTCTAACTACTGATTTTTATAATTTTTTCCCACTTTTTTGAAAAAATAAAGATGATATTTCCGTGATTTTAACTTTTAACTCTTCAAAACAAAAACAATCATTTGAAAATCTCATTTTATAACGGAGCTACGAGCATTTCAAAACGAGTCTTCATTTGCGACTTCTGAGGTTTTGTAGCCACACATGCTAATATACTGTTAGTGCCAATTCTCACAGTGAGCTATTTGACCCATTCAATTAACCCCACATTCCATTAAAGGTGGTCATGGCAACAGGCCTCCAAGGCCACTATACTTACAAGAAGCTGTATGCAATGTACATACTCTCATAGAAACCGGTTTTGTACACTACTATTCTATTGTACAATCTTTCTGAGGCCATCTTAAACTATAATACTTTCGATCATTTTCTCTTATGTTATTCATTGTTTTTCTTCTCTCTTTCCTCTTATTATTCTGTAGTTTCCTTCTATTGATCATCTTCTCTTATGTTATTCATTGTTTTTCTTCTCTCTTTCCTCTTATTATTCTGTAGTTTCCTTCTATTGATCATCTTCTCTTATGTTATTCATTGTTTTTCTTCTCTCTTTCCTCTTAATATTCTATATTTTCCTTCTATTGATCATCTTCTCTTATGTTATTCATTGTTTTTCTTCTATCTCTCCTCTCATTATTCTTTATTGTCCTTCTATCATCTCCTCTTATGTTTCATACATATGACACAAAGTGATATGATTACTGAACTTGAATAGCTACATGTACATGTATGCTGTAAAATCTTTTTGTTTTGTACTTGGGTGGGTTCGAATCCCGCGAAGCTGTTTTTAGCACAAGAGCTTTCATGGTGCCAGTACAATATCATTTGGTTCTATAGCATTCAACGTGCACGTTTCTGATACAGATACAAATGTTGAAAGTAAAGAGGACATCTCCTCAGAATTGGCAGAGAACTCAAAGATAAACTAATTGAGTATAAGGCACTTGTTTAGAGACATAAGAGGACAATGTTCTGGATCCAGTTTAGAACAAGGCTTTTAATTTCTTTGTAACAATAACCTAAGTGACCACGGTATAGATCTGTTTGAAATAAGGAGCACCCAGTCCTGCAACTGCCACGCCCACCATCGGTTTGTCCACAGGATCTTCATCCCTGGTATGCTTGCCATATTGTATAATATTGTATTTATGTTTAGCATAGGCTAGGTTTAGATCATTCCTATTGTGATCAGGCCCAACCGATTTGATTGTTTTGGATAAATTATGCCCCCCCCCTTCAAATTTTTTGTTAATTATAATTCACTCCTAAATCAGTGACTTATAATAGAATATATAGTTGGCCAAAAGAGTCCTAGACATCTTAATTGATGAGGAGAAACAAAGGAACAGAGTGCTGGTGATGCCATGTGTCATTCCAAATGCTGACACCAATTACACCACAAGTAACTGTTTTCTTCTCTTCATTTTATTATTCTAGGTAAGCTTATTCTCATTTATATTTTATATCTTATTATTAACTGTATATGTAATTGTTATCATTAATGTCATGTATCACCCTCTTAATATTAATATATTCCATATCAGGAATATATGGACTTTTAGGGATGAAATATGAAGATAGCTTTGTGACTGTGATGGTGCACTAAACTTAGTTCAGCGAGTACTCTAATGCTGATGTACTTTTGTGTTCAGATATATATATATATCGCCAGGATATTGTTACTAAACAGTATAATGAATTAATGAGTTTTGCAAGTACATATAAGTGTGTACTATTTCAATGTTTTATTATCATGCGTTAGAAGGTATAGAATCAGTAGAAGAATAGGATGATTTGTATGATGTGAATGAACGTCTCATGAAATGGTAGTGTATGTGGATATATATACCCATTTCACAGCTAGTGGGTTAACATATATGCAAGCCTGTATATTGTAGCCACTTGCATAGACTTACTGTCGTGAAGTGTAAACATGGTACCCAAGTTGTGTATAGATTAGATGTGAATAGGACCTTTGTTATAAGAGAGGGATTTAGTCGCCTCTCTGATAAGCTACATCTAAACAGTTTGGTAAATAGAGTTTCTCTCCTCCACCAGCGATAGAAGTCTAATTAGGCGCAGACCCATTTAAAAGATGTAGTTTGTTATATTATATAATAGTGCAGTTATTGATTGATTAATAATCGAAGCACACATTTAATGAGTTTGATTATATATTATTATATTGTACATGTGTATTTTGTAACCATGATACTACAATAGAGCAATGAGCTTAGTAATTTATTAGTTATGTTAGAGAAGGCAACTTCAGTGGTCTGAATTGTAGAATAATTGAGAATTAGGCAAACCCAGCAGAAGTTTCGGCAAGATGCTTTATCTCACCAGTTTGGTAGAAATCAGTTTCTCTAAAGCTCATGCATATATTCGTTTATTAAATCTTAAGTTTATTTTCAGATGATTTATACAATCATTACATGTATTTAATTGTCCTTGTGGGTTTTGAGACAACGTAAAACTGTTATACATGTAGTTGTATATTTGTAGAATGTATAGTTTTATCTTGACTTATTATGTTGCGGATGCACCAGTAATTTGGAATTGCTTGGTTCTTAAAACGAAAGGATTATATATAGTAGAATATATTCTATGCTAAACTTTTAATAGATGAACAGATATATGAGTGCATCATATAGTTACCAGAATTGCAACACGTGTATTCAAAGATGGGATACTAAGTTAACTATTAATTGAATTTGTTAGAAATGGAATTCAACCTTATATTTTACCTGTGGTATTTAAGCCACGAAAGTTTAGTTAGAATTAACTAAAACTGTATTATTGTAAGCTGTTTATATACTTAGTTAGAAGTTAGATTAGGTTTTGTTATGAGAGAAGATCTGGCTATTGCAGATCGATGTGATATAGTTTTAATGTATAAAACTGAAGCATGAACATGTGTTCATGATCGCCGTTGATATTTGATTACTCTTATTCATGATTATTCTTGCTTATTGCGATGGTATTAAGAGTAATAAAAGTCATTCTACATGCTGATACCAATTACACCACAAGTAACTGTTTTCTTCTCTTCATTTTATTATTCTAGCTCCCCTTCCCTGATAGGGGCGTTACACTATTTATATTGTTGTTTTGTTGTATTCTGTATTCTTTGTATTATTAAGCTATGTTTGTATTCTTTATTATGTATCATTATCATGATATGTACATGTGTTGTACTCTCATACCCCAGAAGGGGGTCGAATGAGTCAATAAATTCTATTCTATTCTATGAAACACATTTAAATGACAATTGCAGACCTTTTAGTTGCTTTCCTTGACGGTATTTTCAGACTTGGTTAAAGATTCATTAATGACATTTCAAAATTGTGATGGAATAGGGTTAGACATCTATACAATAATTTGCTGAATTGTTTGAAATATTTGCTTATTAATACTTTTTTTTAAATGTGCAATTCACAATTCTTTTCTTTATTTCTTTCACCCCCCCTTCTCTTTCTCCATAATAGTGCTCGACCACCAGCACCAAAAAACTGAGGGTGAAGTGCAAAAAACTACCCCAACATAATGAGCATCCAATCCCGCTACTACCAGACACATCATCCGTTAGTGTGTCAGCTGGATCATCATCCCTGGTATGTAACGCATTTAAATGGCAATTGCAGCCCTTTTAGCTCCTTTCTTTGACGGGTAATGTTAGACTTGTTCGGAATTTCATCAATGTCATTTTAAAACTGTGATGGAATAGTGTTAGACATCTATACAATAATTTGCTGAATTGTCTGAAATACTTGCTTATTGGTGATATTTTTTAAATGTGCAACTCTGTTATTATGGGTCAAATTGTTTCACAATTCATTTCTTGATGTCTTTCATCCCCCTCCCCTCTCTTTCTCCATGATAGATCTCCAGTACCAGCGATCAAACGGCGAGGGTGAAGTTCACCCAGGAAGAGAAGGAGGCAGTCCAGAAGCTTTTTGAGAGCTGGATAGAAAAGGGTGACATGCCTCGCATAGGCGTGGTGAGGGACATAGTCAAACAAAATAAAAAACTAGCACGTTGCCTCTCTAACCGCTCTTTTCTCCAAGTGAGGGACAGAGTCCGCAACGCAATCAAAGCTCAACAAAATCTACGTCTATGTAGATCATCAACTATTTCATTCATCTTTCTTTTTTCTTAGTTGCTTTCTTAATGTAATATCCCTCACAATGCCTATGCAAGGCATGTCACCCTTTTCTATCCAGCTGTTGATATTCTAATGAAATGTTTAAGAAATGGCAGTGCACACTTGTCAGTAAGTCTGAATGTTTTGTAAAAGTAGTTTTTGTGATTCTTCTTTCTATTCTTGATCTTTTACTTTTTACATGATGATTATGATATGCTTTTTATGAATATGAAGGTACAATTGTATCAATAAAAATCTTCAATTGTCATTAATAAAACACTTTGAGCAGGACATAGGAGATAGTTTTGTATTATGTCCGAACTAAATATGAGTTGAGTCAAATCAAAAAATCATAATTATCTACATTGGACGTAAAAATGATTGAGTTATGGCATTTTTTAACTTTTGTATTGTTTCATGAAACAGTTATATGCATAACATGAGCTGTATTTCGATTAGTGACATGCCGCACTGTCATATGCTCGATTTTCCTTAAGTGTATTATATTAAATATATATTCCTGTACACTATAAACATATTTTTAAAAAGAATACCCGTTTTACCGGTCCTAAGCTTTGGAACGATTTACCTGAAACTATGAGGAAATCTGTACTTCTATTGGAAGCTTTAAAAAATGTATAATTTTAAATTACAGTGCATAAGTATTAGCCCTATACCCGATGAGGCTGACGAGTGTGTGTGTGTATATTGTATAAGGGGATGTGTATATAACCCAATTATATTGTACTGGCACCATGAAAGCTCTCGTGTTATAAACAGCTTCGCGGGACTCGAACCCACCCAAGTAAAATAAAAAAGAGTTTACAACACACATGAAGCTATATATTTAAGTTAATTAATAATAGCAGTTTGTGTCATATATATTTAAAAGAATTTGCACTTTAGGAATGCAAAAGATTAAATGTATTTTCTTACACCGTAACGAACGTTTCACATCATTGCTTGTAATTCCAGTCCTTAATTTCAATTTCACAGTATGAAATATGAGATAAAATGCACTTGAGAGAGAGAGAGAGAACAAAAACACAGGGAAAGTTAAAATTGAGATAGTGAGTGAAACCAATATGATGGAAAGTGGCAGTTGAGATAGAGAATGCAATAGAAAGGGGGGAGGGTGATAATAAAGACAGAGAACATGGAGATGGTTATAGAAAGAGGGAACATGATGAGGGAAAGTGGAAGTAGAAGTAGTAAGGAAGAGCAGGTAGGGTGGTAGCAGAGGTAGTAATAAAAGTAAGGAAGAGCATTGTCCATTCAGGAGAGAGAAAGAAAGACAGATGAGGGAGGGTGAGAAATATTAAGATATTTAATGATTGCCAGATCCGGCGAGAATGAAAGAGGGAGGGGAGTGAGGGAGAATGGGTAGGGTGGTAGTAGAGGTAGTAGAGGTAGTAAGGAAGAGCAGGTAGGGTGGTAGTAGAGGTAGTAATAGAAGTAGGGAAGAGCATTGTCCATTCAGGAGAGAGAAAGAAAGACAGATGAGGGAGGGTAAGAAATATTAAGATATTTAATGATTGACAGATCTGGTGAGAATGAAAGAGCAGAGGTAGTAATAAAAGTAAGGAAGAGCATTGTCCATTCAGGAGAGAGAAAGAAAGACAGATGAGGGAGGGTAAGAAATATTAAGATATTTAATGATTGACAGATCCGGCGAGAATGAAAGAGGGAGGGGAGTGAGGGAGAATGGGTAGGGTGGTAGTAGAGGTAGTAGAAGTAGTAAGGAAGAGCAGGTAGGGTGGTAGTAGAGGTAGTAATAGAAGTAGGGAAGAGCATTGTCCATTCAGGAGAGAGAGAAAAAAAGAAAAATGAGGGAGGGGTGAGAAATATTAAGATATTTAATGATTGACAGATCTGGTGAGAATGGAAGAGGAAGGGGAGCAAGGGAGAACGGATAGTGTGGTAGTGGAGGTAGTAGAAGTAGTAAAGAATCCAATCCAATCCAAAAGATATTTGATATAGCGCCTTTTCCTTGCAGTTACAAAGCGCTGCACACATGCTCGACAATGTTTGGGCCACTTAAAAACAAAAGTTAGACACTTCTTAGAGTTCAGCAAAGTATATGTAGGCTGGTAATAAAGTAATTTCTAGCAGAAAAGATGAACAGATAGGTTGGTAGTAGAGGTGATGTCCACACGGTCATTTTACCTGATGGTCGGGTCCTTGTCCATTGCCCTTTGTTGTAGGCATACCGCCGCCCTCTTCATGTGTTCCTCGCTGGTCTGCAAAGTTACAAAAGAACAAGATTATGTAATAAATACAAGTTCATTTAAAGTTCACTCAGGCATTTCAACCATTATGACAAGAAGAGAAATTGATGAACATGTTCTTTACTGTCTATTGACCACAACTTAAGCATACTATTTTAGAGTAAATTTGGGAAAAAGACAAAAATGTAATGAATAAAATACCAGGCTGGTGGCTAACCTCTTGAGATATCGATTTAAAAGTGGCTATGTGCCTGTCGTAGCTAGAGGCATTGACTGTTGGGGTTGTACCCAGGATGGTCAGCAAGTTTCTTAAGCCTTCAACTGCCAAACCACCAACCTCCGTTGGTCAGAGTAGTCCTAGGGTTTATTTCTGCAGATTTTCCAGGTCCTTTGCATGAATTTTCTGAGGAAAACAATATGAGGAAAAGTGACATTTGAGATAGAGAATGCAATATGAGGGACAATGACAATTGAGAAGGAAATGAAGACACGATAAAAGAAAGAGGAGATTGTGATAGCAAGAAGGAACACAAACAGCATGTTTCTTTTAGTTTTAATGAAATTATCCGTTTCATTTGTTTTCCGGAAAATAGCATATAGTACCAGGGAATGGGCAGTTTCTATCTACGCGTATTATCCGGATAAATACACTGCTCCGATTTAGTGGGTTAAAAGGTTGTGAATAAGTTTGCATCGATCATGCCTAAGGCACCGCAAAGTAATGTGGGACTGCTAGGTCCACCTGGGATTTTAGTGGCGAGGTAAAATATTCCGATCACGTGATTACTCTGATTTCAGGTGTCACTCTGTTATATGTACTCAATCGGAACGGCGTGAGTTTCTGCTAGGCCTACTTAGCTTTGGCCTAAGTAGTAGGCTTAGGCTCCACTCATTTCTAATGAATTGACCACTAGAAACATCAAATTGGGTAGAACAAAGAATTGAAGCACAATAAGGGGGAGGAAGGGGGGGGGGAATTAGAAAATGTCCTATGTTTAGTGACGCTGACAACTTTTATGCACCATAACAGCAATCAGAGATCTTTTTTGAATTTTTCCTTGTATATGCTAGGTCAGGACGGCTGTTTTATGTCTTTACATTTCATGTGTAAATGTCAATGCCAACAAATGCGACATCAAAAAAATAAGGGGAGGGGGGGGGGTGGATCTTCAACATGTCGATGCTATACGGATGCTGAACATGAACATTCTGTATTCGCGCATTAACGTAGCCTTCATATGCCTTTTTTGAATTTTTCCTTGCAAATACTAGGACAGGAAAGCTATCTTTATTATCGTACATGTCTTTGCATTTGATATGTGAAGTGTCAATGCCAACAAATGAGAAATACAAAATATAAGGGGGGTGAATATTAAACATGCATGCTGGTGGTGTGCAGATGCTGCGATAATCATGGACAATCAGTATTCGCACAATAATGCAACAAACCGAGGCTTATTTTTGATTTTCCCTTGCATATGCTAGGTCAGGAAAGCTCTTTTTATTATCGTGCATGTCTTTGCATTCTATATGTGAACTGTCAATGCCAACAAATGAGAAATACAAAAAATAAGGGGGGTGAATCTTAAACATGCATGCTGGTGGTGTACAGATGCTGCGATAATCATGGACAATCAGTATTCGCACAATAATGCAACAAACCGAGGCTTATTTTTGATTTTCCCTTGCATATGCTAGGTCAGGAAATCTCTTTTTATTATCGTGCATGTCTTTGCATTCTATATGTGAACTGTCAATGCCAACAAATGAGAAATACAAAAAATAAGGGGGGTGAATCTTAAACCTGCAGGTGCTGTACTGATGCTGCGATAATCATTGACAATCAGTATTCGCACAATAATGCAACAAAACGAGGCTTATTTTTAATTTTCCCTTGCACATGCTAGGTCAGGAAAGCTCTCTTTATTATCGTGCATGTCTTTGCATTCTGTATGTGCAGTATCAATGCCAAGAAATGAGAAATACAAAAAATAAGCCTAGAAGTTAGAACATGCCGATACTGTACGTACCGACGTCCGAAGCTGCGATATCATGGGCATTCAGTATTAGCACAATAACACAATAAAGTGTAGTCCTACTTACCTTATGGCTTAATGCAATTATTCTTTTGGGCATCTAACAAGTAGACTAATTGATATAAGATCTATATGCTTCACAGTCAGAGTCATACCAGGCAGAGGCCTAATGCCAGGCCTGGAGTTTCGGCCGACAGCCTACCTGTGTTTAGGGGGGAGTGCTTGTTGTTCACGCAAAGTTGCATATCTCACAAAGTTGTGTACAATTTAATGACCTATCGAGAGAAAGTGGATTGATTAAAGTCTAAATTAGTATAAATGGACAGTCAGATAAATATAGGGCACAATACATTTAAAAACTCACCATTTAAATGAATAATAAGAGCTGACTGCCCGCTGGAATGAATCTACTTTTGTTTGTTTAGTTTCTACTGTTACTTTGATTCGTTTGTTATTGTGTGAAGCTCCCTCTACGTGAGAAAAGTACCAATGGCGGGAATTGATGGGAAAAATTAATTTTTGTATCACTTTTTAAGGAAAAAGCATAACAATTAATAAAAAACCAATTGCAGGAAAGTAGGCCTGGATTATCAAAGATCAATTTGAGTATGGTATATTCTGTGGCTTCAATGTAAAAATGTTTTTTTAAAGAACTTTTGTAGAGCACCTATTTTTTGGCCTACACTGTACAAACCTATGGTGAATATTAGATTTTTCGTATTTCGGGGGATATTTTTGTTTGCTAATATTTTGGTTTTATGATTAAAAAATAAGAAACGAATGAATATTTAATGTTAAAAAGGGTTTAAATGTTAAAATTAAAGCAGCCCCCAAGTCATATCTTCAAATTTCAGCCCCAAAAGACTAATTGAAAATTTGCAAAAAAGCGAATTTCGAGAAATACCGTCCTAAACTTTTTTTTTTAAATTGCTTGTAATTAATTAAATAATTAACCAATTTTGCTAATTTTTTCAGGATATGCTCATGATAAGATGCACTAAGCAGTGCATATTTTATTTAAATTTATAAGGGCCTCGATTAGTCTGACCTTTTCATCACCTCAAACAAAAATTCATCTAGTCAATTGTTAAACTCAGTTTTACTTCATTTTTTGGAGAAATGAATAAATCATTTTTTAAAGTGCTAGTTTAAAGAAAAAAACCATCAGGGCTTAGGAGTTAGTGGCCCCAACCGCTATCTAGCAAAATCCTTGAGTTTAATAGGGGTATTGAACCCTATGAACCAGCAAAGGTACCAAAGGGTAAGTACATTTTACTAAAGTACCATTTTCAACACTTTTCCATATTTGAAATTTAAAAAGCGGATCTGTGAAGATTAAGCAACTAAATAGCTTTCATTTAAAAAAAAAATGAACAAAATCGATGAAGAATTGAGTGAGCTAATGACATTTTCCAAAACAGTGTGTAGGACATACACCGGCCCCCAAAAGTTACACCGAGGCACCTTTAGAGTTCAAGGTCAATTTAATTACCGGACGAGCATTATTCCGCCGCGATACTCATGTTAGATGAAAGCCCAACTATCTAAGAGTCCACCTTAAAAAACCCGAAGGAAATCGACCAAGGATAACTAAACTAGAAGCAATTATATAAAAAAAGACTGATTCTATGAATCTAATTAGGGTTAGGGTTAGGGTTAGGGTTAGGGTTAGGGTTAGGGTTAGGGTTAGGGTTAGGGTTAGGGTTAGGGTTAGGGTTAGGGTTAGGGGTTAGGGTTAGGGTTAGGGTTAGGGTTAGGGTTAGGGTTAGGGTTAGGGTTAGGGTTAGGGTTAGGGTTAGGGTTAGGGTTAGGGTTAGGGTTAGGGTTAGGGTTAGGGTTAGGGTTAGGGTTAGGGTTAGGGTTAGGGTTAGGGTTAGGGTTAGGGTTAGGGTTAGGGTTAGGGTTAGGGTTAGGGTTAGGGTTAGGGTTAGGGTTAGGGTTAGGGTTAGGGTTAGGGTTAGGGTTAGGGTTAGGGTTAGGGTTAGGGTTAGGGTTAGGGTTAGGGTTAGGGTTAGGGTTAGAGGGTTAGGGTTAGGGTTAGGGTTAGGGTTAGGGTTAGGGTTAGGGTTAGGGTTAGGGTTAGGGTTAGGGTTAGGGTTAGGGTTAGGGTTAGGGTTAGGGTTAGGGTTAGGGTTAGGGTTAGGGTTAGGGTTAGGGTTAGGGTTAGGGTTAGGGTTAGGGTTAGGGTTAGGGTTAGGGTTAGGGTTATTTTTGTACTACCTCTTGGCGCCCGAGAAAATACATGGCTTCTAAAAATATACAATTGGCGTCTGAGTATCTACCGTGGCATCTGAAAACCTACAATTGGCGTCTGAGTTTCTACAATGGCGTCTGAAAAGCCACAGATGGCGTCCTATTATCTACAGCTCGGCGCCCGTAAAGCTACATGCTACCCTAAAACTTACATGTTGGCTTCTTTTCATTTTACTCCTCTTAAAAGTAGATTTCCTTCAAAGTTATGGGCTGCCCATTGGTTTTTACAGGTAAGAAACGATATTTAACTTCCATTTTACCATTTACTTACGTTTTGTTTGAAAATAATTAGTTTTTAGTGAAATATGACGGTTTTTAGTGTCCAATGTTTTTTGGGGGTAAAATTTACCGAAACTTGTCTGATTTAGGACCTTTTTCTTTCACTTTAATCCCTTTTATCTTAGAATTGCAATCGTTTTGTTCTTCATGAATGAAAGATATCAATTCCTTATAGATTCATCAATCTATAAGTGTTTGCATATTCGATTTTGTATTTTGAATAACAAAATATCAGCATTTTTGTCGATTTACTACGAAAACCGATTCAAAAAAATTCAGGGTGCTGTTGCCGATCTGTGCCATCACCGTTAAATAGCTTTGTTCCTGACCACCACTGACAGGGCATTTGACCGAGGCACTTTTCCGCCTGAAGTACTGGCCTGGTATTCGGCTGTTTTCTGGTATACAATGACGTGCAATGACATGGTAAGCAATTTAGATTGACCCCACTTATTTTCTTATTTCATACTTTTTATCCAAAAAGAGCCACTTCAATATGTTGAGTACAAATGAAAGTTTTTGTTTATGGTATCCATCCACTTGGCAAAGATGAAATTGATTGAAAAATCTCATTTGTTTTGAGTGGAAAACCTATGGCAATTTGCTCCACAACTCCTGGCCTAGCATTCGGCTGTTATCTGGTGAAGAAAAGTGATGCATTTGGTATGATACAAAATTTAGATTGACCCCATTTATTTTCTTACGTTTTGTTTTTTATCGACAAAAAGCCCCCGCGATATGTTAAGTACACTTGAATATCATTGTTTACGTTGTCCATCCACGTAGCAAACATTAAATTGCTTGACAAATCTCATTTGACCGAGGCACTTTTCCGCCTGAAGTACTGGCCTGGTATTCGGCTGTTTTCTGGTATGCAATGACGTGCAATGACATGGTAAGCAATTTAGATTGACCCCACTTATTTTCTTATTTCATACTTTTTATCCAAAAAGAGCCACTTCAATATGTTGAGTACAAATGAAAGTTTTTGTTTACGGTATCCATCCACTTGGCAAAGATGAAATTGATTGAAAAATCTCATTTGTTTTGAGTGGAAAACCTATGGCAATTTGCTCCACAACTCCTGGCCTAGCATTCGGCTGTTATCTGGTGAAGAAAAGTGATGCATTTGGTATGATAAAAAATTTAGATTGACCCCATTTATTTTCTTACGTTTTGTTTTTTATCGACAAAAAGCCCCTGCGATATGTTAAGTACACTTGAATATCATTGTTTACGGTGTCCATCCACGTAGCAAACATTAAATTGCTTGACTAATCTCATTTGTTTCAAGCTGAACACCCTTCATTAGGTGTTCAACTTGAAACAAATGATACTTTTCAATGTGTGGTGCATTTGGTATGATACAAAATTTAGATTGACCCATTTATTTTTGACAGTTATGTTTTTTCGACAAAAAGGCCCTGCGATATGTTTTGTTTCCAGCAGAAAAACTTGAAAGGGCGATCTCCCTTGCCAAGTATTTAGCCGTTTCAATTGGATGATTACGCAAAACCGTCATTAACTCCAACTTCGTGGACGTCCTATTGAAATGTATGATACAGAATTAACATTCGTTTCTCAAGGATGTCTACAAACTAAACTTAGTGATGGTTTTGAGTAACGGCCCCTCGTTGTTAAAGTTCTGCCTTCCGGTGCACTTGATAAGATACACAATTTAGTTTGACGCCATTTTTTGTTCTAATTTTATGGGTTTTTTTTAACGACTTTAATATACTAGCCACTGCGATATGTTAATTCTATAGAAAATCTTAGTATAAGGTGTCCATCAACTACATCGACCTCAACATGTGCTCCATCAATTACACTTGCTAATATTTCAATTATAATTAATTGCTTCATTTGTTTATACATTTCTTATAGGGTTATATATGAGCGACGTGTAGGTTGACGTCGAACAATGGGCAGAGGTAATACATACACGAAACTGGACACATGGGACCGATGTATATTTAGGAACAAGGAATGACGACTTATTATCGCACATGTGTAAATATAATTAAAGAGTATTAAGAAGTGATCGTATCCATACTAATTTAAGGGGAGTCTATCCTTATTGTAAGGATAAGAGGACGTTTTGTGGGCAAATACGAAGATTTCAAAATGTAAAATCTCGCCATTTTGTACGGACAGAGGGTCCGAGCTTACGAACGATGCGAGCAACTTCCACTCCAAAAGTTAATCGACATCGGTATGTATTTAGCTGGCTGCTGACCCATCTAAAAGTCCTCAAGTTACTATTTTACCATATTTTTAAAGCTTAATAAATTTCCTTTCATAATTTTTAGCTACTTTTGGGGCCTTCGGAAAAAATTGTGGAATTTAAGACGAAAATCAAAACTTCAAATTTCCAAAAAAAAGTCATCGTTCTAACTACTGATTTTTATAATTTTTTCCCACTTTTTTGAAAAAATAAAGATGATATTTCCGTGATTTTAACTTTTAACTCTTCAAAACAAAAACAATCATTTGAAAATCTCATTTTATAACGGAGCTACGAGCATTTCAAAACGAGTCTTCATTTGCGACTTCTGAGGTTTTGTAGCCACACATGCTAATATACTGTTAGTGCCAATTCTCACAGTGAGCTATTTGACCCATTCAATTAACCCCACATTCCATTAAAGGTGGTCATGGCAACAGGCCTCCAAGGCCACTATACTTACAAGAAGCTGTATGCAATGTACATACTCTCATAGAAACCGGTTTTGTACACTACTATTCTATTGTACAATCTTTCTGAGGCCATCTTAAACTATAATACTTTCGATCATTTTCTCTTATGTTATTCATTGTTTTTCTTCTCTCTTTCCTCTTATTATTCTGTAGTTTCCTTCTATTGATCATCTTCTCTTATGTTATTCATTGTTTTTCTTCTCTCTTTCCTCTTATTATTCTGTAGTTTCCTTCTATTGATCATCTTCTCTTATGTTATTCATTGTTTTTCTTCTCTCTTTCCTCTTAATATTCTATATTTTCCTTCTATTGATCATCTTCTCTTATGTTATTCATTGTTTTTCTTCTATCTCTCCTCTCATTATTCTTTATTGTCCTTCTATCATCTCCTCTTATGTTTCATACATATGACACAAAGTGATATGATTACTGAACTTGAATAGCTACATGTACATGTATGCTGTAAAATCTTTTTGTTTTGTACTTGGGTGGGTTCGAATCCCGCGAAGCTGTTTTTAGCACAAGAGCTTTCATGGTGCCAGTACAATATCATTTGGTTCTATAGCATTCAACGTGCACGTTTCTGATACAGATACAAATGTTGAAAGTAAAGAGGACATCTCCTCAGAATTGGCAGAGAACTCAAAGATAAACTAATTGAGTATAAGGCACTTGTTTAGAGACATAAGAGGACAATGTTCTGGATCCAGTTTAGAACAAGGCTTTTAATTTCTTTGTAACAATAACCTAAGTGACCACGG